AGGCTCTCACCTCAAATTCTACCTGAGGATGAAAATGTGGGCCAAAACCAAGCCCTGCCGAGGCACTCACCTCAAATTCTAACTGAGGGTGAAAATGTGGGCCAAAACCAAGACCTGCCGAGGCTCTCACCTCAAATTCTACCTGAGGGTGAAAATGCGGGCCAAAACCAAGACCTACCGAGGCTCTCACCTCAAATTCTACCTGAGGGTTAAAATGTGGGCCAAAACCAAGACCTGCCGAGGCACTCACCTCAAATTCTAACTGAGGGTGAAAATGTGGGCCAAAACCAAGACCTGCCGAGGCTCTAACCTCAAATTCTACCTGAGGGTGAAAATGTGGGCCAAAACCAAGACATGCCGAGGCTCTAACCTCAAATTCTACCTGAGGGTGAAAATGTGGGCCAAAACCAAGACCTGCCGAGGCTCTCACCTCAAATTCTACCTGAGGGTGAAAATGTGGGCCAAAACCAAATCCTGCCGAGGCTCTCACCTCTAATTCTACCTGAGGGTGAAATAACCATATCTCCATATATACCTACAAGATGATTGACTCTTTTGATAGTAAATATCAATAATGACATTAGCAAATGCAATAATGACTGCAGGAGATATTTTAGATAACATACAAATTATCAAAGAATATAATCTGAAAGAGGATGATATAATTAGAAATTAGGTTATTATCCTAGTCAGGATTTAGAATGATTTAGTTCCTGAACACAAGGTCACGCTAGGAGTACAAATATGGAATAAAGTTATCTAATATGATACATAAAATGAGGCATAGAGAGAGAAAGAAGAAACTGAAATATTTTATTGCCTCTTCATGAAACTAACACATGAAAATAATTTTGATTGTGTCATACACAACATGCCATGATTACCTGGGTACCTCCAATCCTTGTGATGTCATCAGTACGGCTGTGATGTCAAAGCTATAATGTTAAAGAACAAATATCTATACTCCCATGGAGGCTGTTCATTGATAGAAGTTCCATGCCTAATGAATACATTACATCTTTTGGGTGGTTGGGTGGTGCAGTGGATAGCGCACTTGCCTTTCACCAAGGCGGTACTCTGGTTTCCTCCCACACTAAGACACACACACCCGAGCGCTAACATCCGGGCCAACAAGAGTGATTAATATAAGTTGACATAACTTGTTTCATAATTGTTGTAAAATAAATAAAGTTTATATATTTATATCCTTACACTAACACTTCCACATCAGCTAAGGGTCACTGTCCCACAGCAGGAAAAACACTAGACAATTCCACTGATATTGATTTTTTGTTTGTTTATTCATCTTCGTTGTTGTTGTTTCTTTTTCATAAAAATTTCACAATTTTTTTTTCTTCTTTTCCGAAATGAGTTTTCAAGTGAGTGTTGGTTTATTGTGAATGATCAGTTGTAAAAAGAAGAGGAAGATCACTCATAGATCTGTTCATACTGAAAAAAATATCCAATTCATAATTTAAGTTTTTGGCAGTGGTACGTTAATCCTTCAACAATATTTCCTTACTGCCATATAATATCTATGCATGTTTAAGGTTTAGATCTTTGTTTTGTTTTTTGTTTAAAATCCTAATAACAGGTCATATAAGGATGTGCCTCCATGTCTGTAATCAGCATCCGTGCTTGTGTGTTGGTGTGCATTGCTGGAGACAGGGTATGTTAATGTATATGCCTCCTTGCGATTGTGCGGATCTGATGCCGACTTTAGAGCGCTATCTCACTGAAATATCATGCTGAAGACACCCAGCACAGCATTCCACCCGGTCACATTATACTGACAATGGGTGAACCTGTTGTTGCCATTACTCTAAATGCTGAACGTTAAGCAGGGAATAACAACTACCCTTTTTAAGGACTTTGGTATGTCCCGGCCTGGAGACAGAACCCACTGGCCACACCCCACTTAGACTAAGACTTTCATACTAATAAGAACGAAATAGCGTATGCACTTGCTGTATTATGTAAACTCCTATGTTCAGACCCATTTACATTTCTTAATTCACTAAAGAACACATTAAACAAAATATTGATGATAGATACAAGTCTTTCTATGAAATTTATTAAATTATTTTCACCAAGCTGTTGAACTGTGGACCACAAGGAACAATTAAATTATACTGTATTTATTCGCCAATAAGTCCGTGCTTGGAAATAAGCCCACCCCCACTTTCAGTCAGAGATTATGTGTTAGTCGCTGGGCTATTACAGAATGAATATGATACTCATCTGGTGAAATACTGTGTTCATGAACAGTTCAGCATTATGGCACATTCCTGATTTGTATATGATATTTAAGAACTATATTAAATAGCCTGTACATATCCATGTTTAGTTATATTGTTTACCATTCTGGTTTAATAGGAACTCTGTCCCTCATGAGGGTTTATTAACTTTTAACTCATTCACCCCTACATATCTAAACTGGACTTGCCGAGTCTTTGATTTGGTCAGGTTCAAATGTGACTATAATGGGGAATGGGTTAAATAGATGTCCCTACTCATTTTGATTCATACTAATGGTTATAACCCTATTAAAAGGCAAACATGACTCTTAATTTTTCACAAAATATTCATGCTCTATACAACCACGTTGTGCAATGAAGATTGAATGATGGATTTATTATGGCAGAAATATAATTTGATGGAATGGGGTGGGTTTTTTAAACAAGATTTTTCAGAGATTTTAGATTTCTTGATTCATTGTCCTGTGTTATCTCGTTTGATGTTAACCAATCAACTGATTTTTTCATTTCAAGTTGACAGCGAATTGCAATAAAATGAAGGATTTTCTCATAATGAGTGTTAGCTCCAGCACCGTGTCGGCAAAGTCATCAACTTAATTGTTAATAGTGGTGTTAAAATAAATACTTCTGAATGCAGCTGATTATTTTGAGAGATAATCAATTTTAGAATTTTACTTGAACAGCTACAGATGCAGCTCTGTTACAAGTGGACAAGAAATAGGTGAGAATATCCAAACAGGCACCATTTTTTGAAAGCATCGTGTTCCTGCTTTTCTTTTTGTTATGAAATAAACAACATTAAATATAAAGCAGTTAAAATGGTAGACTTTTCATGCTATATCATAAAACCCACAAAACAAGCGACACAAAAAGTGATGATGTTGTATACACAATGTTTGGCGCGGTATTTGTAATTCTAACTTCTGATTGGTTGAATTGAAGTTGCTTGGTGAAGAAATACCTGCGCAATATTAATGTTGTGTTTTGTTCAAAATTATTTTTGCTTTTATCAGAAATAAATAAAAATCACTGACTGAATTAAACAAGAGGCCCATGGGCCTTAACGGTCACCTGATATACTTATACAGAGAGTTGATTTTGTTTTTAACATGAACAGAAATATTATTCAAAGTGACAAAAAACAATAAAACCACCTTACTCAATATCTAGCATACAGATTTCAGACTAAAAAGAATTTGAAACTAGCACCTCTGATTCTTAACAAGGAAAATGAAGAAATTTTAGCACACTGACTCCTTTGAGCCCCACCCTACAGTCCTTGGGGGTAGGGCTGGCTCAAAATTTTCAAAGTATCAAACTGTCAATTCAAGGTTATAATTCCAATCAAGTTATTAACATGTAATATTCAAAGTATCATTTGCCATTATAAACCATAATAAATTTTGCCCCCCACCCCCTCCTTCCCCAGGGGTAAACGTGAGACCTAGGGTCATAAACCTTAAGACCCTTCCATCTATGAAGAGTATTTGATTCTACCATATCTGGGTCTTGAGAAGAAGATTTTTGAAATTTCAGTCAATTCAACCCTTGTTGGCCCCGCCCCTCAGGCCCCTGGGGGATTGGGACTAAACCGGCCACTGTTTTTGTTGACCTTTGTCCATGGAAGGTCCCTGCAAAATTTTATTGAAATTGGTTCAGGGATTTTGGAGAAGAAGATTTTTGAAATTTTAGTCAATTTGACCCTTTTTGGCCCCGCCCCTCAGGCCACTGGGGGCTTAGGACTAAACCGGCAACTTTTTTTGTTGACCTTTGTCCATGGAAGGTCCCTGCAAAATTTCATTAAAATTGGTTCAGGGGTTTTGGAGAAGAAGTCGAAAATGTAAATTGTTTACGGATGCACGACGGCGACGGGCGACGGACGACGGACGACGGACGACGGACGACGACGGACAAAAGGCGATCGCAATAGGTCACTTGAGACTTTGTCTCAGGTGACCTAAAAATGTTGTCTGACTATTTAAATCAATCTTATTGTATTTTTATATGCTTTAAAATACTTTAGTGACATTTTGTAAGCCGTACTTTGGCCATAAGTTTTACTATTCCTTGCTTTGAAATAGACTTGAGTGCGGTAATGGACACTCGGGCTATTAGAAATTTCAGCAAATAATATTCAGTAATTAAGTAATTACAGAACGGACAACCAATACAGTGATTTGACCTTTGAACTGACCCCTTGTTGTGCCCCTGACCTGAAGTGTACAGGTCTTAAGAGTGGTGCACAATCGACTACAGTTTTATATTCAGGTGAAAGTAATCAATTTAAAGTTTCATATCCATCTTCGATGAGTATAAAAGGAATGGCATTTCAAAATTTTGCGGGCCTACTTATTATTAGCATGTATATGAGAATTATGGAAGTATACTAGCAATTACCTTGTAAGTATGTAATTGAGAATAAACTCATAACACTTCACTATATTTCTGGTGAAGAAGCTTCCTTCGCTTACCACCGATGAGATACAGATTACGAGTGGAGATGGAGGTTTACCAGTTAATTAAAGAACAAAGTCCATGTTAATCCGACCAGTAGACAGTTACATTATACTTTTTATAAAGGTTGTAGGCCAAGAAGGATAACTCAGTGTCTAAGTTATGGGATTGTAAAGGAGAAAGAGAAATGCAATGGCCACACTGGGATTCGAACCCGGGACCCTCCGAACTCTAGACAGACACTCTACCAATTGAGCTACCTAAGAGATAAATAATAACAATTAATAGTTCAGTCTCTCTTTATTTTATTAACAGAACAATAAGGTATATTTACCTTTATATATATTTACATATGTACACACTCATTGCTACAGCCACTGATAATCTGACTGTACAACTATCTTAGCCAGTACTTTACACACAGATTGGGCTTTTTCTATACAAAATTGTCCAGATTATCCAGCCATTTCGACTGATAACAAAGGTTGCTGGATTGCCGTGGTTTTATGAAACAAATGGAAATAACAATAAAATCCAGTATTCATGCATAATAAAGTTTGATAATTATTGAAGAGATAAATAACAATACCCCTAAACCTTAACCTGATCTGTACATAACAGTTTCCTGGCTCAAGATTCTTACTGCATACTGGAAAATCCATTTTCGCACAATATTGAATTAACTTCCGACAGTCAACAGCAGGGGTAGTGTAAGGCTTGAACAAAACATTGCAGATAAGGCTGCTTAAATTGCTATGGTCAAACATTCAACCAAGGACCACAAAAGCCAGTCTGCTTGACCAGCAATATCTAGGTCAACTCGCATCAGAATATGATTTGTCTCTTCATTGCACAAAACCTAAGTTTGGGTCCAATCACAGAATCTAGATCAATCCTTTAGAACAAAGAATCTATGTCAATCCTTCCGATCACTGAATCTTGATCAAGCATTAAGCTTCTGATTGCAGAATCTTGATCAATTCCTCACCTCACCCTTTAGCTTACAAAATTTGGGACGATATTTCCCATAGTCCACAGGTCATAGAATCTGTGTCAGTCCTTAACAATGACAAAGATAGGTCCCTTTTTTTTTTTTTAACAATGACAAAAATAGGTCAATGTCTCCCATCACAGAATCATTTCCACGGATTTTAACTCTCCAGTTACGTTTCAGTATCACAGACAAATCATGTCATCATTCAATAACAACATCCGCTCGTTTTCTCTTTTTTACGATTTTTGACACTCGGAATCCCTCAGCTTTCCGTTTCTTTGCCTCTCGTTTTGCTAAGTTCTTTTTCACCTTCCTTTTAGCAGCTACCTCGGGATTAGAAACAGCCTGTCCAAGAAAAGATAACTCTGTGCTTAGTGATTGACAACAATGCTAACACTAGTTTATAAACCCAAAATTAAATGCATGCAAAAAAATAATGCATGCTTCAATTTTGTCCATTTTATTCGTTAAACTACTACATGAAATAAGGTTTTTATCAAGGAATGTAAAACAGATTTTCTTAAAATTCCTATCTATTTCTTTATGATAAGATGATTTTTTTTTACATATTATAAGTAAAATATTTATAGAATGTCTTAATGTCATTTTCGGAAGTCCTAGAAGCTTATGTGATATATGACAACCAGCACTATTTGTACCTACAAGCGGTCAATCGTTTTAAATATTTTTTTTAACTCTCAATAACACTTTGTCACCATTTTAAATACTTTTAATTTGTAAGTGGTTTGAAAGGTTTTTAAAAGTGCCATCAGAATCAACGAACAAAATAAAAATAGACTTTTACAAAAAGACTGATTCAAAAGTAATTTTCCAAAATAATTCCACATCTAAAACTGAACATTACAAACAAAACAACAACAAAAACAATAACAGAACAGTAACACCATGCTGCCTACCTCAACCGCTTTCTGTCGCTTCCTTGTCTCCTTGACAACCATACGTTTCCTCAGTACCCGGGCGTAGATTTCAGTGAACTGTTCCACCCCCAGGACCTTCTTCAGTAAGTCGAGTACCTCCTGGGCCAGGGACTTGATGGCAAGGTCTGCAACACACAGACCATATCAAAGGTTGGCAACAAATTCTCAGCGAGATTACACATTAATACAAAATTATTAATAACAAGGCAAACCAAAGCATCCCACTGGTATTGATTTCTTTATTAACTGAGCTCCACAAAAGAATTTCAAAGGTCGGGGTCAAAGGTTACACAGCAACCTATTTTTTGTACTTGACACTCTGCCATCCCTAGATGTACTTGCATACTAAATCTTATTACTTCAGATGAAATAGTATTGAAGATATGCATGGACAAACTTTTTTCAAAGGTTGAGGTCAAAGATCAAACCATAGGTCACAGTGGCCTACTTTTTGTATATGACTCTCCACCACCCCAAGATATACTTGCATACCAAGACACGCCCTAGACAAACTTTTGGGATGCATAGAATTTGAAGAGACGGACGGAGGGTAAACCTATAGTCCTCCCCGGGAACCAGTGGGAGACTTATAAATAACATCTTCTGCTGTAGTTTTTTCATTTCAATATATCAAGCTCTTTTCTAAATTCTTAAAAGATTAGCCTACCTGTGATTCCTGATGCGTCATTTGTCTCCCTTTGTAACGGTGGCATCATGATGTGGGCCACAGAGGGCAGTAACTCTGCTCCAAGGTCAAGGCCGACTGCTGCCATCCATTTAAAAACACTGGATCTCTGAAAAAACACACACACAAATCAGTTACTTTTCATTATTTGATGAATTTAAGATGCTGATTTTATACCTTCATCAAGGGAATTGTCTACTACCCTAAAATGTTTATCATTTCATAGGAAAATGATGTACCACAAATGTATTCTTGTAAAAAAGGCCATTATTGACCAAACATCATCTTACATATAAGACACGCTTACTCTTACTCCTATAAACTCGATCTAGAGCCAGCGATCTAAACGAATGCAATGAAAAATGTCACAAGTATTTTAAACAAGTTTCGGTCTAATCATCTCCATATAGTTATGTACATGTACTGTAATATATATTACTGAATGTATTTTGATTATTGACTATTTTGTTGTTGTTTCGTCTATATTACGTAAAAAAAAATTCAAAGAGGGCCTCTTTGGAGGTGAACCTTCATGTTTGCTAAATGAGTTGTACCCTCTAAAAATAAAGTATGATTATTTTTATTACAAAACACAATATGTTTAATATAAACAAACCTCCATCAAACAGTGAAATTTGGTTATCACATACTTGTTCAATATGTTCTCTGTCAGTTTACAGCTATGCATATTACAAGTTTTGTAAAAGCAGGATCAAATATCAAACATATGACTAATCAGTAACCCAAACAACAAGTCCTTGATTAAAAGCAAGATCAAATAAAGAACATATGACTCATAAGTAAGCCAAACAACTTGTCCTTGATTTGACCTTGACATTGAGTGAATGACCTTGAGCTGATCTAAAAAGTTAATGACTGAAATGTTTCATTCATTATTTATGTTTTGACCTTGAAACCAAATGACAGAGATTCTATCTGGATTTGTTGACATTGTAAAATGATACCGGGCTATTCTAACATCCTTAGTTTGACCTTGAGAATTCATGACCAATACCATACCATATTTAACCACCTAAAATACAACTGTAATGACGTTACCTTGATGGTGAGTTTGTTCATGTTGAGGCTCTCGTGATTGGCCTCCCTCGCCATCTTCCTCACTAACCAGGGCAGGGAGAGTCTCTTCCCCTGGGACTCCGTCCCCTCAGGTTCCGAGGCCTCCTCAGACTGAAGGGTCACCAACTTCGCCACTTTACTGATAAAGATCAGGTTTTTGATAACTTGGTCGGCCATCTCGTCTGACAAAAACTTTGACTGTAGTTGTTGTACGAACGTCACTGCTAACAACTCCATCTGTAGTAACATAGTACAATGCATTATAATACATTACCTACCGGTCACTCAAGGGTTCCTACAAAAACCTGTTTTTATTTTAATTGACCAGGAAGTTTTTGATAGACAGCAGAACCTTATTAGTCCTGACATGTCCACTTAAAACAAACATATAAAGGAAAATCTATGTATTACATTTTCACATTAACTCATTCACCCCAATATTTCTAAACTGGACTTGCCCAGCCTTTGTTTTTGTAAGGTTCAAATACGACTTTAGGATTGAATAGGTAAATGCAGTAAATTCATAGGTTTTTTTTGAATTATTATTCCAGAAAATTACTGAATATAATTAAGCCTGGTATTACGTAATATTATTCTTTATCTCAATACGAAAAGCTCTTTAATCACTACATAGTAAGCATTGTTTAACCCTTCCATCCCTAGGTAACTTTAATAGACTCTACCATTAATTTATCTGGGTTAGACCATTATGGTCTACAGTGGTGAAAGGGTTAACATGAAAACTGAGTACAAACTTCATAAAACTGTTGTCACTTCCAATTATCATTTGCACAGAAAAAATAAATATTATAGGGAAACCCTTTCATTCTGTTTAGACTATTTTTCAGTGAACCAGAATCCAGATAAGTATATTTGTCGGAGCAGTAAAACACTACTATCTCTTGTGACCTTTACCTTGTCCTTCATGTCATCCCTTAAGTAATCGACAGCCTCATCAACCTCTTCTACGATTTCCTCCGGTTGCCAGGAAGCAAATAGAAGACCGAACATCTGGGCTCCTGCCAGTCTTACCCAGTTGTGTGGATGTGTCAAGTGCTTCTGGGTATATTCTGAGGAAGACAAATCTCATTTGATCAAGATCAATGAAATGTTTTACTTTAACAGGTATAAAGTGCAGTGATGACTTTGACTTTTTAACCAAGAAACATAAAACTAAATATTCATTAACAAATGACCCTGCTGAATTAACTGGTGTAAATTATCACTATTTTCTAGACAGAATCTTTCATAATGATCTTCAATTCAATTTTATTGGGGTTTTTTAAGGCTTCTACCTTAAACTTGAGATTTCTTCAAACACAAATTTGTCATCACAATAAAAAGGTGAATTTCAAGATTTTAAATTGTAAACTTCCTGTCTTATAGATGGAAGTAGATTTAAAACAAAATGACTCACCCCAGATCGTGTTCATCTGCTTGTGCCATTTTGGTGTCCTGACCACATTACACTCCCTCAACACCTTGAGAAGAAGGTTGAGGATGTTGAACAGGAGATGATCTTCATTTTGTTCCATGGATTCATCTTGTACCTGTAAATATAACAGAAGCAATCATGCTACAGCTAACAGGAAAACAGTAGCAGCGTGACAGTGACATAGGATGATAGTACGATCAGCAGAAAGGACTAAGGTACGTTAAGGGCCATTTCCAGACTCATCACCAATTTTGAAAAAGATATGATATTTATAATCTGGGATAAATGAAGTACACAATTATTCAGTTTCAAATTCATTCAAAAACTGGTACAGGAAATATGGCATAACAAAGAGAGATATAAACCAAAATTTTTCACAATAAAAAGGTGTGTCTTTTGTGTGCTATTAACGTTGAAAATTTGCCACTTCAAAGCAAATCAACTCAACACTGTTCAAGTTTTGAAAGCTTCCACATGCACCAACCAAATAAATATTTGGCACGCATAAACATTGTCATGCCGGTTTTCATTCAAATAAAGGAAATTTTGGTTGTCACGTGCGAAAGCTTTCATTTCTGCATGCTAACTGTCCATATTGTGGTAATTCCTGCATAGTAAAGCGATTCTGTTGCTATGGTTGGGACATATACACATTTGCAATGAAAAAAATCTGCACCAGGAAAGATAGCCCCAATCAACCAATACGATGTTTATAAAATAAATTGGTAAATAAATCTGAGTTAAAGTTTTTGTTTTTTATGAGGCCAAAAATGACCCATAACGCCCCAAGTCCTTTATTGTACTGTGATATCCATCGTAACGTCACCTTCCTTTCTTCATTATTACGGCAGATTACATTTTTTGAAAAGTTTATCTTTCAGGACTTTTATGAAAAAATAATGGAGTTGAAATAAACACCAAAACATAATCTAGAAACATGGTCTGAATGTAAAAACATCTGCAGGGCCAGACTGATATTCCAACCCTGGACTTTAGATTGTTATACTATCACTGTAACTGATTGTCTACCTGGCCAGGAAGTGTATTAGCCCATAAACTGAAGTTAAGGGGAGGTTACTGTATGTATATAGGTTAAACGGTAGTCCACTAGGACAGGGATCTTTAATTAAGAATATAGATGACAATACATTTATAATCACTAACACAATTTTTTCGTATCAATTGTTGAAGAATCACTGAAAAAGTTGCAAGCAATACATTTAAAATTGTATACCAATGAATTTCCACATCATTTATACCTCACAAATGGTCTGTAATGTATACTATGACAATAGATATTTTCTGTGGAGATTATCTAGGTCACCTGTGGCTTAAAACAGTTTTTCGTTAATAATGGGTGGTGAGTGATGATGCCAGTTTAACAGGTATTACTATGCAACATCAGGATTATGGCCTACGGTCACCCGAATCAACAGAATGTTTGTTAAAAGACACACCAAACAACACATTGTGGACTGGACGTTCAATTCATTGAAATCCCTTCAAGAGGATTTCTGTTTAACATGTTCATCATTTATGCACATATCATGCCATCAGACCAAGATGGATACAATTGGTCAGTTGCACCTTTGGCTCAGAGGACCTAAAAATGTAAAAACAATGTTAAGTAAAGATGTCTTACCTTCTCATAACGACTGGGCTGCAGATGAAACTTCACGACTGGGAAAACTTCCGCCAGGTGGCGCTCGAATTGAGCGGCTTCCACTTCCACAAAGAGGCCACATAACTGGGCACCTAGGGACTGATGCTGCGACTGAAACAGTCAAGATCTTTGTTGAAGTCTTTTCATCTATGATATACTTACAGACCTCCTAACTTCAAAAGTAGTTTTCTCTTAACAGTCTCTCCACTTATAGGTTCCTCTACAAGGTAATTTAAACAGCTCATTTCTGTTGTTATGATCCAACTATCTATATTCCGTAATATACTACTGTGAAATCAGATATTTTCGTGGGGCCCATACTGCCTGGTTTCCCAACAAAACACCATTTCGTGGGTACATGAATTCATGGAATACAATTAGTCACTCGAAAGGAGAATCGCTTTATTTAAACCTTGTAATTACTTTGCGGACCTATGGATTCGTGGATGAAGATTACCCATAAATCAACGATATTAAAACCCCCACAAAATTAGCGATTTCACAGTATCTTTTCGTGTCTGTAGTACATGTATATATATGGAATCTATATTAACAGCTAACTTTATGTATATATATGGAATCTATATTAACAGATAACTTTATGTATATATATGGAATCTATATTAACAGATAACTTTATGTATATATATGGAATCTATATTAACAGATAACTTTGGGCAGAAACTGCATCAAACAAGCAGTGCTTCGGTAATAAGACGTTGCCGATGGCATGGTAGTCCAGTGGTAGGACGCCGGGCTTGTGACTGAAGGGTTGCGGGTTCGAGTCACGGCACGGCACTGTGTTGTATCTTCTAGCAAGATACTTTACACCGCTTGTTCAAGTCTACTTAGCTGTAAATGAGTACGTGGTTGGGCAGTGCTAGAATTGTTGAATGCAAGCTGTGAGCGCTGAAATGGCAGCACCAGCTGCATGCTCCCCAGGGAGTTGAGAAAGATATTGGATGGTTGCAAAGGCCCAATAACCACGGATAATAATTTGTAAACCTCTTTGAGACACCCAACGAACAAGGTTGTAATAGAGCGGTATATAAGAACCTTAATAGATATGGCTAATTGATTTCTAATTAAGTTACTATTCTCTACCTTTTGATCCTGAAACCATTTCAAGGCAATCAAAAACAGCTCATTCCGTTTGTTATGGTCCAACTGTAAAAAGAAATTATCATGAACATACATATCACTGGGTACATAGATGACCTGTTTTATTTTTGGAATGTTTTCTCTATAACTTACTTGATGCTTAATTATGAATATACTTTTTCAAAATGGCTACATGTGTTATCCAATTTTTAACCAAGAATAATTTTCTAGTAATTGAAATTTTTATCATTCTAGTCTCAATGTATGAACTATTGACAAATACCATATTCTGTGTAGGAAATGTTGAATCAAATTGCATCTGGACTTTTTTATCATTACTCACCTTTTCTAGTAATAACTTTATAGCCAAACCAGTCAGCTTGCGACATTTTAAAGATTCATCATTCACCATGGCAACCGACAACGGCACAAAGAAGAAACCTGCATGTCTCATCAGTAGCGTCTGAAAAATAGAAACGTCATCGTGAATGACAGGAAAGGACTTGGGGCGCTATGGGTCATTTTGGGCCTTTTTGGCCTTTTTGAAAATTTCAACTTGAATTTATTTGCCAATTTCTGCTATAAACATCATATTGGTTAATTTGGGCTATCTTTCTTGGTGTTGATTTTATCCAATGTGCATGTGTAGATGCCCTACCATAGTAACGAACTGCATTGCTGTGTAGAAATAGCCAATATATGGTGTTTTTGGACAGTTAACATGCAGAAATGAAAGCATCCGCAGGTGACAAACAAAAATTCCTTTCTACGAATGAACACTTGTATAACAATGTTTAAGCATGTCAAATATTTATTTGTTCGTTGCATGCGGAGGCTTTCAAAAATAGAAGAGCGTTTAGTTAATTTCCTTCAAAATGGCTAATTTTCGAGCAAATAGTGCAAAACAGACGACATTTGCTCATTTTATCATGAAAATGTGTGTTTATGTCTCGTTTTGTAATGCCATATCTCCTAAACCAGTTGTCGAATGCATTTGAAATTTCATATTTGCTTTCTTTATTTATTCCAGATTAAGAGGATAACAACTAATCCTAGATATCCGATGAGGCTGGAAATGACTCTTCACGCCCCTAGTATTTTGAAATTTTGACATTGAACCCTGTCTCGTTCAAAAGCTACTGTGTTTAAGATCCCCGAACTGCCAAAAAATGTTGCACATTAGAAACTGCCTTTTCAGGCATGACAGAAATTTTGGTAAATCATTTTTGAAAAGAAAACCATACCTTGCGGGACTTTAATGAGAAATGATAAAATGGACAAAATAAATCAATAATTTATTGTAAAAATTAAGTGGAGCTAGACAGATTTGAACCCTGAGTCCTTAACACAACCTCAATATTATGATATCTGACTTGATAAAGCTTGACAAAATAACTCACCTGAGGAAAGCTGGAGAAGATGGAAGCCATCATTTCCAGGGCAGACTCTCTCCCAGGTTCCGTCTCATAAGACAGTTGGGTGATGAAGAACTCGAGGTGTTTGACTAGTTTTTTGCCTAAAGGGTAGTCCATCATGTACTGTAGACTCAGCTGTAAAACAGGACAGGTGTGAAATACAGGTGTGGTACATGTACATTTGTACATGTCGTGTGTAAGTATCATTACAGCCTGGTATCTCTATTAAAGTTCCTTTCCCTAACTATAAATCTAGAAACACATGCAATTTTTCACAATCCCCCCTTGAATAATACATTTTAATGCAATGTTATTGAAGAAAAGTTCTATTATTAATCACCTGACGGCACTCCCTCCTGGTATGGGGGGAGTCGGCTTTGATAGACATGGTCTGGACGTTATAATATTTTACCTGACGGCACTCCCTCCTTGTATGGGGGGAGTTGGCTGTGATTGACATTGTCTGGACGTTATAATATTTTACCTGACGGCACTCCCTCCTGGTATGGGGGGAGTCAGCTGTGATTGACATGGTCTGGACCTTTATCATCAATTCCTGCATCTCTGGTACGTTGAGTTTCCGTGACAGTATGGCCTACAATCACAGAAATTGTGTAATGGATCAGTGAGCTTTTACTCCATAAAAGACTTGCTAGTTCAGATATCTCACAATACACAACGGTATACTGAGTATGTCTTTAGTTTCAAACAATTTTGCCGATGGATGATGAAACCATCTTACAGATTTTATAATGTATACCAGGAAATTTTGGCCCAGTTGAACTTTCGCCCTTCACCATGACAATCCATATTGGTCCAGTGTTAATAATGCTGTTCACATTTAATGTATGTTAGCTGCATTGATAATTTCACCTTCATAAAGACGGGCAAAAAAAAGCGATGATTAATCTGTCGGGAAGATTTCCTGCTATACAGTGTTTCTTAGTTCATCTGTTACTGTACCATAGTTAATCAAAATCAAGCCCCCACTCCAAATGGAAAAAAGATTTACCAAAAGTGTGTACAAATATTTGAATCAACTTGCTAAATTATTACACATGCTCAAAGAAAGTCAACAGAAAGGAGTATACCAAACAATCCTACTTACCCTGAAGAGTGAGAAGGCAGTGCTCTGTCTATGGTACTTACCCTGAGGAGTGCGAAGGCAGTGCTCTGTCTATGGTACTTACCCAGAGGAGTGAGAAGGCAGTGCACTGTCTAAGGTACTTACCCTGAGGAGTGAGAAGGCAGTGCTCCGTCTATGGTACTTACCCTGAGGAGTGAGATGGCAGTGCTCTGTCTATGGTACTTTCCCTGAGGAGTGAGAAGGCAGTGCTCTGTCTATAGTACTTACCCTGAGGAGTGAGAAGGCAGTGCTCCGTCTATGGTACTTACCCTGAGGAGTGAGAAGGCAACAGAATGGAGTATACCAAACAATCCTACTTACCCTGAGGAGTGAGAAGGCAGTGCTCCGTCTATGGTACTTACCCTGAGGAGTGAGAAGGCAACAGAATGGAGTATACCAAACAATCCTACTTACCCTGAAGAGTGAGAAGGCAGTGCGCTGTCTATGGTACTTACCCTGTGGAGTGAGAAGGCAGTGCTCTGTCTATGGTACTGTCCCTGAGGACCGAGAAGGCAGTGCTCTGTCTATGGTACTTACCCTGATGAGTGAGAAGGCAGTGCTCTGTCTATGGTACTTACACTGAGGAGTGAGAAGGCAGTGCTCTGTCTATGGTCCTTACCCTGAGGAGTGAGAAGGCAGTGCTCTGCCTATGGTACTTACCCTGAGGAGTGAGAAGGCAGTTTTCTTTCTATGGTACTTACCCTGAGGAGTGAGAAGGCAGTACGCTGTCTATGGTACTTACCCTGAGGAGTGAGACGGCAGTGCTCTGTCTATGGTACTTACCCTGATGAGTGAGAAGGCAGTGCTCTGTCTATGGTACTTATCCTGAGGAGTGAGAAGGCAGTGCTCTGTCTATAGTACTTACCCTGAGGAGTGAGAAGGCAGTGCTCTGTCTATAGTACTTACCCTGAGGAGTGAGAAGGCAGTGCTCTGTCTATGGTAGTCATGTAAATCCTCCTCACAGAATCCTAATAGCACCTGGAGCTGTTCTGAGTTGATCTCGTAACACTTCACATCCCTCACCAGTACAGTCACTGCCTAATAAACAAAACACAGCACCCGTACATCATTGTTATTCATAAAGTACTTCATTTGTCTCAAAAATCAAAAGATTATTACATTTTGTGATAAATGCTATATCAGATTTTATTATTATAAAATTATTTAAAGTTATTTTCTATTCAAATGTCTATTTTGAAGATGAGGTAAATTTACCTTAAATGCCATGGTGATGAGGTCCAGATTATCTCCAGTTGCCGAACCTGCTGATGCGTAATTCTTAAGCAATACTATGATACCGTTAGCGATAGGACGGATGTGTTTTTTAATGGCTGGCAGAGGGAACCTCAGGATCCAGCACAGGCATCGCAGACTGACGGTATTCACCTAGAGATTGCCAACATAAAGTCGTGGTAAACAATCAGTACACACAGTGGGCAGAGGTTTATATTATATTGTCAGGGACTACTTTCTTTTGACCTTAACATAATTTGTGGTAAACAATCGGTACACACCGTGGGCAGAGGTTTACATTATATTGTCAGGGACTACTTTCTTTTGACCTTAACATAAAGTTGTGGTAAACAATCATTACACACAGTGGGCAGAGGTTTACATTATATTGTCAGGAACTACTTTCTTTTGACCTTAATAGTCTTTAAAAAAATTGTAAAGGTATTAATATTTTGGGCCTACAACTTTAAGTTTATAACAAGATGAAGTAGAACTTTGCTAAAGTTCAATGTGTTCAGTAAGACTTGTTGGGACATAAGAAGTTCACTATAGGCATGATTTTACTACAATATTCCATGTTTATAAGAAAAAAATCCTTGCTAGATTATACAAATAAAAACCTTATCATAAATAAGAAATAAGTTGGCATCAAGCAAGATACAGGTACAAAGATACAGGTACAAAGATACAGGTACAAAGATACAGGTACAAAGATACAGGTACTCAAGTCAGGGTGGATGATTTTATGTAATCAATATTTGTCCCTAATTATAACTTTTAAATGTCATTCACTTTAGGAACATTGCTTTGACCAAGATACACTTTTTGTATCTGACCACTCCCAGCCTATAGAGGTCAAGATATTTACTGCTAACACCAAGAGGTCAATACATACTTGCCAACTCTCCCTATTGAGGCCTGAGTTTGGACCCTTTAATTGAGCATTTTCAACCAGTGAATTTGCTGAACTATTCCTATTTTCTAAGATGTGATGATGACTCAATCTGAAATAACAGCTCAAAAAATGCCATTTAAAAGTGTTGTTTTTCCCTAGGATTTACATACACACATTTTATTCATGCTTTTAATTCTGAGCATGTGTAATCTCCCACATGGACATTTCTAAAGTTGGCAAGTATGCCTGTCAAGAGCATCAAGCAATCCAGACCTGACCAGTGATAGATGGTTCTCACCTTGATATGTTGTGACTGCAGACAGTCGGACATTATGGACACAAATGGGTCAAGCATCCGTAGGTCTTCTTGCTTAGTGGCAACAAGTCGTCCTTTCTTTAATGACAGGTGCAGCAGCTAGAGGGTTACAAATACAGGTCAAGGTCACAGAGTTAAGTCAAGGCTGCAGAGCAAAGGCAAAATTACAGAGGTCGGCAAAGGTTTCCAATTTAAGATGAGGTTACCAAATTACGTCAAGTTCTATCTAGCTAACAGATACAGGTCAAGATTATAGAGATAAGTCAAGGTTAAATAAATAGGTCAAGGTTACAGAGATAAGACAGGCTGAAATGATGTATTAACATCTGAGAAAGGTTAAGGTAGGAGGGATAGGTTGAGGTTACAGAAAAACAGGTCAAACTTACAATGTAATTCAAAGCTGAGGCATTTCGGTTGAGTCTGTCTATAACAAGTTCAACTATGGTTATATAAATTTCCCTGGTTTAATTATGAACAAGGGCCAAGTCTTATGGAGGAGGAGCAATGAATTGTATCTAGATTTATTGCAACAAGATGTTCTTAACCAACATGTGAAATATTTTTAAAGTGAAAAATAAAACTTGGTAAAAAGAAAAATGCATAATAGTCATTCTTCTTGTTTTCTCTTTAGAATGTGAAAATCTCTCAAAATGATCAAAATAAGGAATGATATCACAGAATAATACACAACTTGAAGCAGTAAAAACACACCTGGACTCCAAACTCAACAAGGATGTGAGCATTGGTACGCTTGCTGCTTTTCGGTTTGCCTCCACCTCGAATAGGAGTAGTTGGTAGGAGGAGACAGCTCTCAGGCTTCCTTCTCCCATCTGTGGGTGTCGGGGCATTCTGTGTACTGCTCTCACTAGTTAGGGAAAATATAGCATGTATACAGGGCAAAGATTGTCATCTACTCATAAACAAATAATACAATGTTGTCCGCTCATAACAAAATACATGTGTTGTAATATTGCTGATATTTTGTGTAACTTGAATCTAACAGCCATAACATGTGACAGAGGCATAGAAATCAATGGTTTAAGAGGACAAATCAAGATAAGGTACATCCTCACCTCTGTTTGGTAGACAGCTGTGGGAAGGCCTCAGACACAAGTCCGTGACAGAAGACAGTCAGTGCCTCTGTGGTCAAACCCTCATTCTCCATCAGTCCATTGACTACCTTCTTAAGGACCTCCTGAACCTTGCGTGCCAACTTATGGCTGCGTGTTGTGTCCAGTATCTATAGCAAAGGTCAAACTAGGGTCAAATATGGTCACAGTGGTAAACTGCCATCAAACAAACAAGGACAAAAGGTCAAATAAAATCACACAAGGTCAAACAAGGTCACAGATGTCAAAATTCAGAGTCACACATTGTCATAAAAGGTCATATCAGTCACACAAAGGTTAAACAAGATCACAGATGTCAAAATTCAGAGTCACACATTGTCATAAAACGTCATATCAGTCACAGAAGGGTCAAACAAGGTCACAGATGTCAAAATTCAGAGTCACACATTGTCATAAAAGGTCATATCAGTCACAGAAAGGTAAAGCAAGTTCAGAGGTCAAACAATCATTCGCTTCCTCAAGGTCTGCCAAATTTCCGTTTCTATATTTATACAGTCAATTTATCACCAAACTTTAAAGGACATTCTTTTTAACTTACATCGTTACAGCAATTGAAAATTTTCCAAAACTCAATCAAGGTCAGACAGAGGTCAAACAAGTCCACCAATAATGCTCTAACAGACTGGTCTTAACATTGGTCATACCAGACACAACTTATGGTCAAACTTTCGCCCTACACCACGAAATCAATTTTTGCTAGTGTTAATTTCCCCTTCACATTTACTTACTGTGCATATTATGTTGTTTACTAACGCTTGCTGTGGTGATAAATTCGCCTCTATTACGGCTTGTGAAAAAGGCAAAAAATTAAAACTGCAGCAAAAATTTCCTGGTATACAGTATAATTTGACAAAAAAAATATTCTTGTACTCACAGTCTTGATGGGTGTGATGAAAGGTATAAGTGACTTGGTGCCCAAGAGTTTAGCCAGAATCTGATAGGAATCATAGCTCTTCACTTTGCGAGCCTCAAACAGTTTAACTCTGATGCCTTCTACATCCTTCTCCTCCGCCACTTCTCCAAACAGTTCTTTGTGAAATACCTAAACAAAACAAAACAGGAATCTCAACACAGATTAAACACAGATTAAGACCAGCAAAATAATGCATTTTCATTTTATCATTAAATGATAAATCAAAACAGCCAAAGGAGGTAGTTGTTGTGGTTTATTAGTTGTGTTGACCATTTTCACCAACAGAGTGGCCAAAACAGGTTGACACTACTAATAAACTACAAGAACAACTGTATTGGCAAAATAGACCAACACAACTAATAAACCACAGCAAACAGTTCATAAGTAATCCTCACTCATTCTTACTATAGAAAACTGTCTAAACAGACCTCTGCACAATCCAATCATTTGCTTAAACCAGCCGAAGAATTTAGTTACGACAATGACAAAGAATAACAAAGACACTTAATCCAAACTGGCCAAACCGTGGTCTTAGGGGTATCTGGTGTATAGAGTACGCTGCATTGACAATGATACAAAATATTGCATCATAATTGTGAAGAGGATGCTGGGAAACTTTACCTCCTGTAGACTGCGACAACAGATGTCAAGGTCACCTGTCTTTGTCAAGGGCATCATGTTCCTTAGCAGGACATACACAGTGAAAGTCAACACATGGAGCTGATAGCCACGTGTCAGGATACCTCGCATCTCTGACAGGGCGTATGGCAGGAAGCGTGACCCTAGGGACGTGAGTATTTTTGTCAGTGTGTCTCTCGCTGTGTCCCGAATGTCCTTAGCACGTGACTTTAGGAAGTTACAGACCTTGATGAGAATACTGAAACATCAACCAAAAGATATTACAAAAACATGTTAGTTTTCAAGTTTCATTTTCTGAACTCTACTGTAGTATACATGTACAATAACTGAAAGAACCCCTCTTATGAAGTTTAAGGGATGTTTAATTTCAACATATCTAATCTCAGATGCTTCCATCCCATTGAGCCTTACCTTGGAGACTTCGTTCTAGTGAGCCAGTGAGCCCTTAGGGAGAGTATGTATAAACTAACTTAAGATGCTTTCATCTCAAGGGGCTCATGGGAAGTCTAACCTTGGAGAATCTGTTCCAGTGAGCCAGTGAGCCCTTGGGATGGCTACCCTTGCAGACTCTGTTTCAGTGAGCCCTTAGGGAGAATCTGTAGCAGCTATATCTTCCAAGACTGGGAAGTATTTGTGAATATCTATCAAGGGAAACTCCACTTCAGTGAGAAATTGTGAGTCTGCAGTACTCCACTCAAGTGACTACCTACAATACCTACCCTAGAAGACTACACTCAAGTGACTACCTACAATATCTACCCTACTAGACTCCACTCAAGTGACTACCTACAGTACCTACTCTAGAAGACTCCACTTAAGTGAATACCTACAATACCTACTCTAGAAGACTCCACTCAAGTGACTACCTACAGTACCTACTCTAGAAGACTCCACTCAAGTGACTAACTACAATACCTACTCTAGAAGACTCCACTCAAGTGACTATCTACAATACCTACCCTAGAAGACTTCACTCAAGTGGCTATCTACAATACCTACCCTAGAAGACTTCACTCAAGTGGCTATCTACAATACCTACCCTAGAAGACTCCACTCAAGTGACTACATACAATACCTACTCTAGAAGACTCCACTCAAGTAACTACCTACAATACCTACTCTAGAAGACTCCACTGAAGTGACTACCTACAGTACCTACTCTAGAAGACTCCACTCAGGTGACTACCTACAATACCTACTCTAGAAGACTCCACTCAAGTGGCTATCTACAATACCTACCCTAGAAGACTCCACTCAAGTGACTACCTACAATACCTACTCTAGAAGACTCCACTCAAGTAACTACCTACAATACCTACCATGGGAGACTCCGCTCCAGTGTGCCCTTGGGGAGGGTCTGTAGTAACTATACTTACCCTGGGAGACTCCACTCCAGTGAGCCCTTGGGGAGGGTCTAGAGTAACTATACCTACCCTGAGACTCCGCTCCAGCGAGCCTTGGGGGGGCCTGTAGAAACTATACCTACCCTGGGAGACTCCGCTCCAGCGAGCCCTTGGGGAGGGTCTGTAGTAACTATACCTACCCTGGGAGACTCAACTCCAGCAAGCCCTTGGGGAGGGTCTGTAGTAACTATACCTACCCTAGGAGACTCAACTCCAGCGAGCCCTTGGGGAGGGTCTGTAGTAACTATACCTACCCTGGGAGACTCAGCTCCAGGGAGGCCTTGGGGAGGGTCTATAGTAACTATACCTACCCTGGGAGACTCCGCTCCAGTGAGCCCTTGGGGAGGGTCTGTAGTAACTTAACCATTGCCAAGGCGAGGGGAACCCTCAGGATTTCTGTGTCATCAGCATAACTGTTTCTTGCCAGTTTGTGTTCCTCTTCACTTCGAACCTAGGACACAAAATAAGCTGTTGTCAGATTCTATGACTGTGTGTCTTATTGTTTTGTATCAGGTATCTCCAAAACACTTCTTATATTTAAAAAAAAAAAAAAAAAAACTTGGTCCCATTGAGTTCTTCTGACCTACATGTAATATGGAAGATTGATCTTACCCTCTGTGTGAGACACTTCTGTAGCTGAGGCAGCAGGCCTTTTACAATTGTGGTGTGAATCTTGGTGGCCAGACCTGGTGGACACATCAGTTTCCCTGACGATGACAGGACCATATCCTGTTTTGTTTCCATGACCTCGTCACTTTCCAGAACCTCTTTGACGTCCATGTCATCTGTTGTCTTTTCCTCATCATTGGCATTTGAATCTGGTTCAGGTTTTAGTTCTTCATTCTCTTCTACAATATTTAAATGCAAATGTGCTAGATAAACAATAAATAACTAAAAATACAAGCACTTTACTTGAAACACTGATTACACAATAGATGCCTTTCCTTTACAATCACACTATTGTTGTATGATACTGATGTTTCAGAGCTTTTTTCTTCCTGAAAAAAAAATTGCAAAATATGAACCCAATGAAATTGTCTGAGAAACAAATACACTAATAAATTTGTTTTTACGGGGATTTTTTTTATTTCAGATTACTGCAAGACAATGAGATATTTAGAGATCTAATTTATTTTAAGTGAAGATTGCGAGCACAAAGCTTGCCAAGGGCCCATATATTCATGAATTGATTTCCATAATCTCCTATTCTGTGTTCAAGTCCAATTATCTTGTTATGGTGATAAATTATTCCATTTCTATTAATTTTCACTGATTTGAAGTCTCAGACAGACCAGAAGCTGATGACTGATGATGTCTAGACTTTATTTTTCTTTACTATATCACATGATTTCAATGAGAAACAAGTGAGTTGGTTTGAGCACAGAATGAAAGCTTGAGCATGAGAATGGTTTCGTGAATACAGGCCTTGAGTTCAAAATCTAAAATTAATCCATAAGTTGGTAAAAATAGTCATACACTCTAAAGAATTGAGAGAATAATATCTTGCATGATACCCTACAGAAAATATGTTTATTTCATCGGAAAATCAAGAAGTTCTAAAAACAGGTCGATGATTTTGAAGCCAACTAATTAACCATGCAATATCATAATTGAATTATGCCCTTCCAGTGAAGTTGATAATTAATAGCATTGCAGTTATTTGATTGATTGTTACAAGTTGGGGCAAATAAAACAAAAAACATCACATGACTCCTAAATTAATTAACATAAGGTTGTTATTTGTGAGGTTAGATAATAATGCAATGTTTTAATTGAAGTGTGCTATCCAGGTGAAGTTGACAATCACTTTCCTTAAATTTGATTGGTTGTAACAAGGCAGTGCAGAAAGGGAAAAAAGTATCACATGACTTCATAGGGGCTGTGGTGGTCAAGTGGTTAAGTCGTCTGACATTCTGCTACCACTAGCCCTCCACCACTGGTTCGCAGGTCCGAGGCCTACCTGGGGCAGTCGCCAGGTACCGGTTGTAGGTTGGTGGTTTATCTCTGGAAACTCTGGCTTTATTCCACCACCAAAACCTGGCACGTTATTAAATTACTATAGCTGTTAATAGGACGTAAAACACAAACAAAAATCATAGTTTATTAACAAATAGCAGCCATGTGACAAATAGTACCCACCTGTAGGCAGCCCTATAGCTTTTTTTTTGGCGATTGCGGCTGGAAGGTGGGTAAGGTTCAACTGTGACGCACTCACATCGAAATGGAAGGAATCCAAGATGGCTACTATGACTCTGGAACAATTGATGAACAAACAGCATTGATACCCGGGCTTAGCTTTTAGGGGACTAACATATACTGTAGTACATTACATAGTAAACTGAAAGCATCAAGTTTATGCTTGCCAACCAATGACTATAAATTCAATTTGCTTTTTGGTGGTTTTTGTTTTAAGACTCCTTGACAACTATGGTCGTTTAAGACGGTGTTAACCTTGTTAAATGGGGTGACCACTTGACAGTATGAAACAAACATTTTAAATCAGATATTTAAATCAGATAAAAACACCATAGCTCTTATAATCATTAGAGCTATAGAGACATAATGCAAAGCTGAAAAGGAAACATTTCTATAGTCAAACAATAACATGACAGTGAAAACCATCAGCATTGTTATATAGATATCTGATGATTTAGCTTACATTTAAAATATTTTATTTCAGGTAGAACATTGACACCAGAGGGAGCCCTACCTGATGAGTCCCTTCTGCTTGTCCAGGTCCTTCTGTAGGCGACCCAGATAAAACTTTAGCTGGTGGAGATACTGTTGCCATGGTAACTGTAAACAGACAGCCCCGATGGTGTCTATGGCAGCCTCCTGAAGAGCCTGTGCCTTAGTGTAGCTATCAATCTGTAGGAACGCTGAAGCCAGGGGCAGGAAATAGGACATGATGGCTTCCTTACAGGCACGGTGACCAGACATGTACTTGATCAGCCTCCGCAGCGCTCGAGACCGCTTGTGAGTCTGGTAAAAGTAAAATACAGGTGATTTTATTTTACAAGTAAAAAATAAACATTTCAGATGCACTCAAACAACTAATGTTTTTACTGATGCTGGGACAACCATTTGTTTGTAGATTAAACCATAATAAATGTATGACAGAACATAAATAGGATCTGGAACAATAGAAACAATTTCTACTCATAAATATATATGATAAATAATAATAATGATAATTTGAGGTTCTCATATACCGGTTTATCACAATCTAGGTCATCTCAAAGTGTTTCACAAATTATTATGTGTGGTTATTGAGCCTTTGCACCAGCCAATATCTTCCTCAACTCCCTGGGGAGCATACCAGCACTGCCCAACCACATACTCATTTACAGCTGAGTAGACTGGAACAAGAGGAGTAAAGTATCTTGTTCAAGAATACAACATGGTGCCATGATGGGACTCGAACCGGCAACCCTTCAGTCATGAGCCTGGTGTCCTACCACTAGACTGGAATTAATAGACTGGAATGGCAGGTTGACTTACTTGTATGTGACGTATGTTTTCAAAGAAGTCTGCTTCCAAGTCTTTATCCTTCAGTCCACGGAGGTCCGCTAAGTTGGGCTGATCAGGAAATGTGTCCACCACGACAGACAGCAAGGCGATGTACTCATGTCTAACATTCTGGGGACAACAAAAGTATAGTTATACAGCTGGGCAGATTATAGTTTCAACAGGGAAATGTGTCCATTACGACAGACAGCAAGGTGATGTATTAATGTCTAACATTCTGGGGACAACAAAAGTAAAATTATACAGCTGGGCAGATTATAGCTTCAACAGGGTGATGTTTGCATATCTCACACACTAAGACAACAAAAATCATCCATGATACTCCAGGGGTTACACTCACTTTCGCTCTCTTGAAAAACAAATCACTAAACTGATACCTGTCCTTTAAAGATAACAAAGGAGCGACACTCGACTTCAAAGCCAGTCAATTATACCCTTACACAATTGAGAGATTCCTTTGATGTACATCAAAGGATCAAAGTAGTCTTCCTGTCTCATCCAAAAGGTGGCGCACACTGAGGCTTCGATTTTGTCATGACATAGTCCAGGGGTGCTGAGAGCGAAAGTGAGCATGAGCCCTGGAGTATGGAGGATGCAACAAATATACAGCTATGTAGATTACAGCTAAAGTTACACATTACATCTCCAGCACACACGTAGGCATACACACATAGGGAGATATTAGCCAGGTGGCATAGGACTGGTAGTTAGCGCCTGATAAGGCAGCTCCTGCTAATTCCTCAAAATCATATTGATTAATGTACATGATAATTGTATTAATTGTATATTTATGTACTGTAAAGCGCTTTAGAGTGGCTTATGTTAGTTAGATAGGGCACTATATCAAATGCTGTATATTATTAATATTATTATTATTGTTGAAATCATACTATCAAATACCCACCAGCTGAGTAAACATAGAACTACAAAAAAGTATTTTATTGTACAGTGACTTACCTCATTCTTATTCCTGAAGCCAGCCTTTATTTCCACCAGGATACCCTGAGTAATCAAATCCCTGAATGTATCATTGTCATAGGTAGCCAGGCCGAACTGTGTCACCATGGTAACCAGTGTGTTGGTGGCATTGTCTCGTATAGACAAGTCATCTATCTGGAATTATAGAATCATATGTCATCTCTGTTAACCAATGGTAAACATTGTTTCTATGGAAACCACACATGTATGTGTAGGATAGGAATGCAACTTGTAAGAAAATGGTTGTAAAATGTACGTAAGATATGCTTTCATGTACTGTGAAATCACTAGTTTTCGTTGGGTTTTGAATTTCGTTGATTTCATGAGTAATCTTCATCCATGAATTCATAGGTCCACAAAGTAATTACAAGTTTGATATTAAGGAATTTTCTGTGGGAGTGGGTACTTGTATTCCATGAAATCATGTACCTGGTACCCACGTAACGATGTTTTTTCGGGAAACCACAAAATTTCAGCCCAAAGAAAATATCTGATTTCACAGTACTGTAAAGCTACAAATTTCTCTGGTAACCTTAGTTTAGTGTTCTTCATGTGTTAAATTCTGTCTATTGTTTTATGCACCCAGTCATCAATGTGCTCATCTGCTAAAATTCAGTGCAAGTCTTAAGTCATTTCTTACAAAAATGAAAAAGGTTATAACTCATATGTGGAATTTTAATAGCTCAAACAAATATGATATCCGCATTATCATTATTACATCATGCAGTAAAACCAACCCACCATATTGATGAAGTAGCAGGCATTGTGCATTATGGGTAATAAGACATCTGCTTCTATTGTCTTCATCGCCTTGATCATTTCATTGGCATTTCTGAAGGCCGACAATCTCTTCGTGTAGTCCGGATCTTCTGTACGTTTAGGATCCCAAGCATTTAGCTGTAAAGAATAATGATCCGGAAATGCACATACCTCTCTTTCATTCCATCATATTTTACCTTTTCCATCCATAAACAAAATAAACATTATTTGTTTATGCCCATACTTCTACCTGCATCATCTCTTTTTCATTTTCTAATACCATTTTACTCGCTCACTCTCCCATACCCCTCGCTTCCCTCCCCACTTTTTAAAATTCAATTTCACCAACTTGGCCTGACTTTTAAATTGTATTTTATTTTTCTGTATGAGGTAAAGATTCATTAGCACTGAACCAATGATATAAAACATATTGCTTGTTTAATAATTTTATAAACTGTTTGACTACAAGAAGAGTTGAGTTTCAGCGTTTGTACTGATGATAGTGTACATACATGTAGGACAGCTATACGTTTTCAACATATATTAGTCATCACTATACCAGTAAACTTAATAAAAGCACAGCTAATGTTTTTATTACATCTTAATTATTCCAGCTTACTTATAAAGCAAAGGATTGTATAACAATTCAATACTTGAAATCACTTGATTTGTGTGAGTACTTTATTTTACAAACTGTGTCTGTAGGTTTTATTCACAAATACTTGAATTGACATTGGATATTATTTCATTGTTGATAAATAACTACTCATGGAATTGATAATGATAAAAGATTTTAATTCACAAATGAATCTCCTCGCAAATTAATGTGAAATTAATCTCGTGTGTATAAAGCGAATTGTGTGTAATCTTGGAGGGGAATCAAACTAATGTGTTTGTAGCGTGAATGTTTCACCGGCGTCCTTACCTCCAGTATGAGCTCGGCAAGTGACGATTGGTCACTTTCTTCGGTCAATATCATCTGTAAAAGGACAAAGCTAGACATAAAGAAAATCTTTATCATTTATTCTTTTTGCCTTTAGACTTCACAACAATATTGGGTCACTGTCATTCCAAACCAAAATAGCTTACTGACATGTTTATGGTTATATTTAATCTAAAATATTTTCAATGCATTCATTCATTATGCCCTAGTCTACAAATTTAATTTCACATACTATAGAGTTCTTTTAATTAAAGAGGTTTTATATTTGTTACACTATATTCATAGCCTGAAAAAATTATACAAAATGCAAATTAGGCCCTGGTCTAACAACTAGAACTTTTAGCAAAAGGCTAACTAATACCCCGCTGCTATATAAACCAGAACTGTAAGTTAAAGGCTTACTAAGGCAAAGCATTACAAAGCAATCCATAGTCTCCCACCAGTAACAAGTATTTTGCACAAAGGGGCATACCTCCATCAAAAAGGGTCGAAATCCCAAATTAAAATGAGGGTGCACAACTACATAAGATACCGATCATTCATGCAAATTTTTAATGAAATCCACCTGTAAGTTAAGGAGAGTTGCACAGACAAGTATTACGCACAAAGGGTCACAACTCGGAGGAGTTTTCCGAACAAGTTACTATGGACGTCAGACAGACAGACAGACCGACAGAGACAGACAGACAGACAGACAGGGTGATTCCAGTATACCCCCCCCCCCCCTAACTTCGTTGCGGGGGTATAAAAACTTAATTTCACATAATGTAGAATTTTTATAATTTAAGGATGTTTTAAATTTGTTTTCACTATATTCATAGCCTGAAAAAATTGTACAAAATGTTACTCTTTTGGTATTAGTAATTTTTTATCATTGACATCTAATGATTTTGTGTGACCCTTAACAGTACCGTGTTAAATTCAACTCCAGCCAGTTTATGCCAGGTATATAATCAACAGAGCTTTACCCTTATCAAAATCAAATCTCAGTACCATGTTTCACTCTGCATCTATTTTAACTCATTCACCCCTGAAATTTCATAATGAACTATTCCAACCTTTGAATTGGAAGAGCTCAAATGTGTCTTTAGGGGTGTATGATTTAAAGACCAAATAACATGGTTTGGTTTATCGTCATTGCTGTTTCAGCAGCCAAAATGACCTAAACATCTATATTTTTATGACTATTTCATCAGACTAACTGACAGACATTTTCTTTTAAGTCAAATTAGCATCCTAAAGATTTGTTTTCATTGTTGTTTTAAGCAGCCAAACTGACTTAAACATCTACATTAAAAACAAATCAAAAAGTTAAAGAGTTTGTTTTCATTCTGGTTTTTACTAAACTAACTTAGACATCTAAAGTTCAGTACATTATTACGGTTATAATACTATACCTTTAGTATAGAACACAGGAGATCCCGGGACTTGCGATACAAGATGTTAGAAAACAGCACCGAGACTCGTCTGAAATATATTTGACGAAATAAAATAAATATCAGATTTGTATATTTTGAAATATATGAAGATTCTGAATACATTTATACAGAAATGTTCAACACCATTTAAAGAAAAGCCAATGAAGACATTGTTCAGTACCAATAAAAATGGAAGGCAGAGCTGTGCTGCACTGGGACTTGTTGGTGATGATAGCATTTTGTGCTGACTTCCCTAAAGAACTGGGACTTGTTGGAGATGATAACATTTTCTGCTGACTTACCTAAAGAACTGGAACCTGTTGGTGATAATAGTGTTTTGTGCTGACTTGCCTAAAGAACTGGCACCTGTTGGGGATAATAGCGTTTTGTGCTGACTTACCTAAAGAGCTGGCACCTGTTGGTGATGATAACTTTTTGTGCTGACTTACCTAAAGAACGGGCACCTGTTGGTGATGATAACGGTTTGTGCTGACTTACCTGAAGAACTGGCACCTGTTGGTGATGATGACGTTTTGTGCTGACTTACCTGAAGATCTGGGACTTGTTGGTGATGATAGTGTTTTGTGCTGACTTTCCTAAAGAACTGGCACCTGTTGGCGATGATAACGTTTTGTGCTGACTTACCTGATGAACTGGGACTTGTTGATGATGATAGCGTTTTGTGCTGACTTAACTAAAGAACTGGGACTTGTTGGTGATGATAACATTTTATGCTGACTTACCTAAAGAACTGGAACCTGTTGGTGATAATAGTGTTTTGTGCTGACTTACCTGAAGATCTGGGACTTGTTGGTGATGATAGCATTTTGTGCTGACTTCCCTAAAGAACTGGGACTTGTTGGAGATGATAACATTTTCTGCTGACTTACCTAAAGAACTGGAACCTGTTGGTGATAATAGTGTTTTGTGCTGACTTGCCTAAAGAACTGGCACCTGTTGGTAATGATAACGTTTTGTGCTGACTTACCTAAAGAACTTGGACTTGTTGGTGATGATAACATTTACTGCTGACTTACCTAAAGAACTGGCCCCTGTTGGTGATGATAGCGTTTTGTACTGACTTAGCTGAAGAACTGGGACTTGTTGGTGATGATAACATTTACTGCTGACTTACCTAAAGAACTGGAACCTGTTGGTGATAATAGTGTTTTGTGCTGACTTACGTAAAGAACTGGCACCTGTTGGTGATGACAGCGTTTTGTGCTGACTTACCTAAAGAACTGGGTCTTGTTGGTGATGATAGTGTTTTGTGATGACTTACCTAAAGAACTGGGACTTGTTGGTGATGATAACATTTACTGCTGACTTACCTAAAGAACTGGCACCTGTTGGTGGTGATAACGTTTTGTGCTGACTTACCTGAAGAACTGGGACTTGTTGATGATGATAGCGTTTTGTACTGACTTAGCTGAAGAACTGGGACTTGTTGGTGATGATAGCGTTTTGTGCTGACTTAGCTGAAGAACTGGGACTTGTTGGTGATGATAGCGTTTTGTACTGACTTAGCTGAAGAACTGGGACTTGTTGGTGATGATAGCGTTTTGTGCTGACTTACCTGAAGAACTGGGACTTGTTGGTGATGATAGCGTTTTGTACTGACTTAGCTGAAGAACTGGGACTTGTTGGTGATGATAGCGTTTTGTGCTGACTTACCTAAAGAACTGGGACCTGTTGGTGATGATAGCGTTTTGTGCTGACTTACCTGAAGAACTGGGACTTGTTGGTGATGATAGCCATTAAGTTACTGATACTGGTCAAGATGTCTTCTTCAGCCTCCTGTAAAATACAATGTTTACAGCCTCCAGTAAAATACAATGTTTACAGCCTCCTGTAAAATAAAATGTTTACAGCCTCTCAGAACACATAAATGCACACATTGTTAACAACTTCTGATTTTTTTTGTAGTTTGATTTTTTATAATATGCCATCAATACAATAAATGCACTATTAAAGTAACATATTGGTCATTTTGATCATGAATTTCTATATTTTTGAGATCAATGTTAAATAATTATTAACAAGAAAATCAAGATAGATGTTTTCAACAGTGATGTTGGTGTTACTGACCTTTGACCTTGCAATGACCTTGTCCAGGTATGGCAACAAGAGAGAGATGAGGACAGGACACTGGGCCATGTCTGATACAAAACAGCTGATGCTGAAATAGACAAGCAGGTGTCATACAGGTAAACAGTTCATGATGAAATAAACTAACAAGTGTTATACAGATAAATAGCTGATGCAGATAGAAACAAACAAGGTTCTTTTGTTACAAATGGTAAGAATGGTTGACTGACCTGTAAACATGGCCTTTTCAAAATTGTGACCACCACTTCTATTCTCAAAACCTGACCACAGACCTAGTCTGTCTGTAGCTTCAAGTCAAACCACTTAAATTTAGGTCTGACTTTTTTCTTATCCCATAAAGGTATACCATAGATGGAGATCACTATGGTTGAGCCAGGTGTACAAGTGACAGATGTACAAGGTCTGTGTTACCTTGACAGAATTCTCAGCTCCCTGGAGGAGCCCTTCTTGATGTAGACCTTGGTCTCCCGGCTAGCAATGGCAGTCTGGAGGAAGGTGAGCACGGCCGGGATATGTGGGGACATCAGATTTATACCTATCTCCTGGACTGTGAACAAACAAAATAAGGTTAATATACTGTATAATGGGAAATTTTCTTGCAGTCAAATTTTTGCAGCTCGACAGTAAAATCCTTTTTTTTTGCCCAATATTAAATTCACCCTTCTCATTTGATTATTATGTTTATTATGTTGTTTAGCAACATTTGCTGTAACGATAAATTAGCCCTCTTTAGGGAGGGTGAAAAAGGCAAAAATTCAATATCGGCGAAAATTTCCCTATATACAGTAGTGACACTATAGTTACAGAAATATCCTGTCTATATTGACCACCTGTCTACAATGGCATCTGCTTACAGTGACATGTCTTTAATAAACACCTGTCTGTGTTCAATTGGAATATCCTAACTGCAAACTGAATGATAACGCCTTTTGTTTATAATACTAAATTGCTCAAAGCAACCATTTCCTACTCTGACGAATCAGTAACCACTGTGTATATGGACTAGTATTTTGGCACTTCACCAACATTGTATATTATTCATAGACATATCCAGAAGAAATCCTATATATAATATCCTTGGCACAGCAGTGCTTGTTCCCCATTATAAAAATTGTACTCTTTACCTTTCACATGTAGTGACTGTCTGGTTTTTATCATGAGTCTCTGGAACAGTGCTTTATAGAACTTACTTGTCATGTGAGTATAGTCTAGAGCTGATCCACAGTGGACAGGAAGTGGGCGGAGCTCTTCTGCATCATCCTCAGTCTTTTTGGGATTCAGGAGGTTGTCCACGATTTCCAGAATGAGGCTGGATACAGTACTCCTCACATTTGTGGCATTGAGAAGTTTAAACACAAACGGGAGTGGGGTGATCTCCTTGTCATCATGGTGATGCTTTGACAGGTACATAATATACCTAGCAGAAATACAGGACTGGTATTTGATACATTTGTTTAATAGAAGGTACATGTATAAACAGTTTGCTTGTGGTAAACAACAAACTATGCATCTACATATGGAAATCTCAATCAACACCTGATATCAAAATTAAATTAAATTGATTACAACAGTTATAAACATATTTGAACTGCATCCAAAAAATTTAATTCCAAATTTTGAAATAATAAAAATGAAAAAAAAATCTGGGATCTGTTTCACTGACAATATCTGGGGCCATAATTTGTTGCAAAAAAAAAAAGTGTGTATATATAAAAGTTTACTGTGATAAAGTGTTTTAATAAGAAAGATTGCACAACCCAATTCTGTATACGTTGTACTCTGTATCAAATTAAACTGACATCTGTAGTCTATAAACTCAGATGATATAGCATGCAACTCTGTAGAATGAGAACAAACCATTACCCGGAGCAGTCTTTTCTTACCTCGGAGATCTTGACCATGTGGCCAGTATTTTCAGTAAGGTGGTGGGGTGGTACACGCCCTCAAAGGGCAGTTTCTCCAGCTGTCAAACAAACAAACAGTTCACATCACTCATCTCTCAACATAAAGGATATACAAATCTACAAGCTGGAGCTTCAACGTCTAGATTCTGTAGTTTTATTATCTGTTTACATGTTCCAACTACCTAGGCTAGCCGTCTGATGACCTTCCGTGATTGGGTTCTACTAAATATCATTGGGAATCCATCTTTGACTCCTACAACCTTCAACCATAGACAACGAGGGCGTCGGTTCCCTCCCACTCCGATAGGAGTGTCATATTTACATCTTTCAATAGATAGGTTCTTTTTTTGATGAAAAGCAAAATCATGGAAAATGTGTTCATAATTGGTCCATGATTAAAAAAAAAAAAATACAAATTTTGTGAAGAATGTTGTCTTTATCTAATTAACATATCAAATTTGGTTTCTTTAGAAATAGGAACTGTAGAAAATGATATGTGTTGTAAGTGAAAATGTTTACTTCTAAGCTATTCAGTTTATTTGTGGTATGGAAATGATGTCAATGCATCAACAATGATGCTGTGATATATACTACAAAGTGTGACAATTATTCACACGGATTTATTTAACACAATATAAGCATTTAATCCCCTTTACATCATTTGTATAGCTAAGTAATTACATGGCAAGTGTCACACCTGATGTACAGTGAGCTGGACTTACCTGAGGCCAAACAATCACAGTGAACACAGCATCGATCTCAACCGGGGAAGGCTTGTAGCCGTCGTAGTTCTCAAATAGCTTAAAGAAAAAGTTTAAAAACATCTATTATATTCACAGTTTTTGAAAGATCTGACATTAAGATTATGGTGGAATAGTCTTTCAGGGAGATAGCTCTCCAAAAGGTCCCATTACTATTGACGAATATATGAAAACTGTAGAAGTTGTTCAGACAATGTTTGACTAAAACTATTGTAAAAGGGGCAATAACTCCTATAAAAATAGCCAGGCTAAAAAATGTAAGCTTCGGTGCACAACCTCAGCTTAAGGTGCTTATGTAAGTGGTATTTCACAAAATTTAGATGAAGCATCATCCGTACCAACTTCAATGAAATGGTAAAAATTAACTGAAACTTAATGTTGAAGAAATGTCTCATTGTTTTAATTTCTTGAATATTCTGATGTCCAACCTCTATAAACCTGGTGGTGGCCATTTGTCGCAGGGTTTTCAGCATGCTGAGAGAGAACGGTGTGATGTTGTCTCTGTGCTCCAGACAGGCTACACAAGTAGCCATCAGTCCCACCAGGATCTTTATCAAAGAGGGAAGGTAGTCATCCAACAGGTGGCCTAGCTTCTTATAGAATGTGTTGATAGAATATAGTGTTCTGGAAATGTTATAATTCTTCATTATATATACCATATACCGGTAGACAATGGAATACATTTTAACACATTCTATAAATTTTTCAATTAATTGTAATTTGTTTTAAACAATACTTCATTCGCATTATTAAAACAATAAAATGCTTGAATTGTTGTTACTTTATTTTGAAAGAAACACTCAGCAGAGTTCTACTAAATTATCTTAGCAGTTAAAACAACTTTGCAAAGAAGGATTCTATGACACACAGTGATTTACAAAGAAAACACTGCGAAGGTAGTCCCAAAATTTGGAAGCGATGGTGATGATAGAAAGTTTACCCAGTAATCTTCCGTAAGGGAATGACCTCCGAGGGGTCAGTCGTCCTCATCACCTCTAGCGCCATCTGCTGAGGATCATCTGCAACACACAATAATAATATACAACATTTGATATAGCACCCTATCTAGCTAACATAAGCCAGTCTAAAGCACTTTACAGTAAATACATATGCAATCAATACAATTAGCATATACATTAAACAATACAATTTTGAGGAATTCGCAGGAGCTGCCTTATCAGGCGCTAACTACTAGTCCTATGCCACCTGGCTAATATCTCCCTATGTGAGTATGCCTGCGTGTGTGCTGGAGATGTAATGTGTTCTGTTTGTAGTGGGACTGTGCTTCCAACTGCCACCTCACTTGAATGCCACAGCACAGTTACCGCAACATCCACCCCAGACCACTTTATCCTCCACCTGGGTTGTTGGAGTTGTGTGGGCAGGAGAAAAACACTTTCTTTGAATATTCCAAGCGTACAACGACTTTGGGGATCATATCCCGGCCACCTGCTTGGAAGGCCGGAGTGTTAACCACTCAACCAATCCCCCAAATGTATAATGCAATCAAGTCAATAGGCAGTCTATTGCATGGATCGGCAACAACAATATGACGTCACTTTATATGTAATGATACTTTGAAGTGCATAGATCTTTTTTTTACCAGTGACAAAATTATCCAAAGATGAAGCAATATGAGATTTGTCTGTCTAAGCCTAGGGTGGGGTAAATGCTTAGTGTCATGGAGTATACATATACTGAAGGTGAGGAATGGTATTTTAGTAATATACAGATGGGAGAAAAATAATTACTAGTTATAGTGTGGGATGGTGAACGCCTCATCCTGGCCAAAAAACTAAGCCCTCTAGATTCATGTTTCTCTTTCCCACACCATAAATAGTGACAGATTCTCATTTAACCACACTGGTATGATATTATACATGCATTGCCCTTACTGTAGGGAAACACGATTGTTTGTTTCTCTGAGGTTAATCATGTTTCACTAGGCAAAGGAATATATATCAATCAAAAACAATAACACAATAGCAAAGATTATCAGGTTAACACACAATTGTTGTCGTCTGCTTCCGTCATTCAGAACTAGGTTGTGGTGGCTCTTGCCGATTTCCTAGAGTGGTTAGGAATAAGGGAAATATGATCTGGGAAACATGGAAGAGTTAGGGCGACATGATGATTTATTTTGTTGTTTTATTGCCCCGTCATGTGACCAGTATCATCCAATCAGACACCCTGTTACAGATTATGTAGATAAGGTACAACAATATATCTAGCTATCGTGATAAACCAGTAACTCCCTGTGACCCACCAACCTATCCACTCTTCGCATTCACTTAAATTAACATAAAATATTACCTGTAATAAAGTGTTTGAAGGGCATGAACACCATGTCCAGAAAGTTCACGACCTCCCCCATACTACAGCCATTAAGGAAGCGCAGTACGATGGACTGACGCAGGTTACTATGACTACGACCTGCTGTCTCCTTGCCTGTCTTGGTAAGCATCTTTCCATACAGTATTCTGAAAGGAAACTCTCATCACTGTAAATCTGCTATTATAAGCATATATATAAATATCAATTTTGCAAGAAAAATATTTTGTGACCACCATAAGCTTGCTTTACTGAGAAAACAAGTGATATTGATATCATTGTTCATTACTATTCAAAACCTTGAAAAGAATCGAATCATTTGGAGCACACTCAGGGAAATAAGTAATCACAAATAATAACAGCTAAACAGCATAGCATTGTAATAAACGAACCTGAGTCAACAAAAACAGGTCAATGTCTGAATCTAACCCTTTCACCACTGTAGACCATAATGGACTCATCAAGATCAATGCATGGTAGCGTTTACTGAGGTTATGTAGGGGTGAGAGGGTTAAGCTACATGTTGATGTCCACAGATCCTTACCTCATTAAGATGGGCATCAGTTGACTCCTGTATTCAATATTAATCTGTCCTCCATCATGGTCAATACTGAACAATACTAACTCTGACTTGAATGTCGTATCATCCAACAGCCTGTTGAAGTTCTCTCTAAAGAAACACATTACAAAAAGGTAAGTTCAAAGGCTAAGGATTTTACATGTAACAGGATTTTTTAACTTTGAAATCAGCACACATTTTTCATGACCTCTAACAGAGATCAAATTCAAGGTCAAATATTCTATTTTACAAATCTGTTAATTACAAATAACATGACCACAAATGTTCTACATCAAATATATTTCTTTATTATCTTATTTTAGCATAGACTTTGAAATAACAACATCAATTACTCTACAACAAAGATATGTGCCCCCCCCCCCCCCCCATTCCAATATTGAGTAGTCTCCCTTTAAAAGATTTTGGTACCTGTATTGTGTTAAGTAGTTGTGTTTGTAGGCCATAATACAGTCAAACGTAGTCTTCTGTACGACAGGATCTTTGTGTACCAGCAGCTGACAAGAATAATAAATATAAGCTTTACTGGCTACTAGAAAATATTACTTATGTTAAAAAGACAACATGCCATCCGAAATCTCATATTCTTTAATTAAAGAAATCAATAGTACTGTCGGATTCCAATCATTTATACAATGACACAATGACAGAAATATCTTTTTTTTTCGGATGATTTACACACATAATAATAAGGACAAACTTCACTGAATCAGTCATATACTTAACTGTTAAACTGCAAAAAATACCACAATTTTTTTTATTTTTTTTTTAAATGTTTGGAATTTCTTCCTAAACTTCTTTCAACTTCATTCATTTCAGGAATCAAATCATTATGCAGCTAGAAATGTACTGATTTTTAGTCAGATATTGTCCTGTTTTTTCGCGATTCCTTACCTCCATATAAAGAGTATTTATATCTGGCTCTAGGTACAGGGACTTCGGGTTTTTGAATTTGGCAAACAGTTCTAGATGTATGACCAAAGTGCTGAAATAGATAAGGGGCATACATACACGCTAAATGTTGCATTATTTTTTCTACAATAAAACCTTAATGTTATCCGTCTCTGACATTTTATTGGCAACCTTGCTTGCCACAAATAATTTCACGTTATCCTTTTCTTGTTTCTTTTTACAACTTCTTATATTTAAAGCCCAATTATTCTGTCACACCACAAGTTTGCTCAATAGTTATTTACAGTAATATACAATTTTACTGAATATACACTTTAAGTTTATGTTAATTCATATCATATTTTGGGTTTTGAATGAAGGCTATAATTTTTAATGTTGATAAATTTCATTATTGACACTCAGTGCTACAATGGTGTGAAATTGCAAATAAAAAAGATGGAAAAAAGATTAGACATATTAATATACCAGAGATTGTTTATCTAAATGAAGAGATGATGATGCAGTAATATTACCCACCTTGTTGCTGCTCTCCTCTGTCTTTTAGATACCTGTACTTCACTCTCCTCTACACTGTCATCGACAGTAGCGTCATCTTCAGTTTCCTGTAATCTGTCATTTCCCTTTTTCTCTAGTGTAGTTTTGTCATTGTCTCCTTTGGTCTGGTGGTCCTCAGACTGTTCAGATGACTCTGACCTACAAACAATGAAAGGTTCTTACTTTGAATCATCACACAAGTACTGAAGGACTCAAAACAGCCACAGTGATTTTCATCATAAACTCCATAGTCAAGGGCGTCTTCCACAGACACAAATCCCTTCTTGAGTGAGATGTATCCAATGAGATTATCTTTAAGTTAACATGGTCTTAACAGTTCTACAATGTATACCGTATTTCACTGAAACACGATTCTGAAATCTACAACCTGATTACATGTTAACTATTGGACACTGTGAAGATGGCTTTTGAATTCACCATACAAAGATCCTTGTGACTTGTGCGATACAAATACAATTAAATGAGGTAGAAATACTTCACACAGGAACCTCATGACTTTTTGCCTAAAGCCCACACATCTCTGATCTTAACATCAAGCCTTTGATCTTATAGCCACCAGGACCTCTAACATTCAGACAATATTGTAAGTAAGTAAATAGAAAAAAAATGTGTAGCTTATTTAACATCAAACTTTCTTGATGTTTTCAAGATGACTCACCAGTTAAAATTGAATGATGACAGAATTGTGAAATGTGATTTCACTGATTTGATATTTCTAAAAAAAATCACTATAAAAAACTGTCACCACCAAATGAACACTAATGCCTATGAATTGTCAATTACTCTGTAAAACTGATAGTCACAACACTTGTTCCAAATGTCTGTTTAACTGACCTTGACCTCTCCTGACCTAAGCCTTTTGCCCTACTCCTGGTGACCCTTATCAATGGTGAACTTGGTTTCTCTGGTATGTCCATCTCCTCTTCATGTTCCTGGCTGTTCTGTTTTCCACCCTCTTCTTGTTCTTCAATGTCTTGACCTTCACCTTCTGCCTCTTCCTGATCAGGTTTCCCACCCCTTATTCGTCTGCAGATGTTTTGTTTCGGAGCCATGCTCATGTCAGATGGGTAATACTCATTTCTATTAACATCAAATATTCGTTGGATCAAGGAATAATCATAATGATTAAAAGGTAAACTCGTGTCTTTTTTGTATATTATTATGACAATCATTCACATTTTATTGAAATGGAAACATGCTAAATCAAACACTAATACCGAATATAAAGTTACAAATAAGTCAAATATTTTACATTTCTCACTTTTTCAAAATAATAGAAATGTGTCACCATATCTCACTAGACTGTTAAATCATTATTTTTATCTGACACTGTTGTATTAAGTAGGAATCTTTTTTTAAAAACAGTCTACATGTTATAAAAAAAATCTGATAACCCATGGCCAGTTGCATATACTCATATGTCAACTGCCAAAAGGCTTATGGTGAATGAAATAATTCAACTGTTTTATAATACTGTGCTAGAAGGACACACAGGAAAAAAATCAGGGTATCAATTAGAAGCTGTCACAAATTTATTGTGTCAAAAATAAAATGCCCTAACTGTGATTTTTTAGACCCCCCTCATTTTATTCATGCATTTCATTTATACATTTATGAAATTAGATGCTTAATGGTCTTCAATGAAAATACAACTGAAGTAAATCAGGGGAGAATGAGAGAAAGCAATGGTTACAAGTGAATTTTACCTGATAAATCGGAGCAGTAGAGGTGAAAGGTCACGTGACTTGGCCTCACACTGGTCCGAGAACAAAATCATGGCTTTCCACAACTGGTCCCGAAAGTTGTAATAGTCTACTCTTTCGGTAGTCATGTGACTTGGTATGACCTCTGACACATCAAAGTCGGACATACTGATGAGAGCATTGTTTCCATGGAGATATGGTTTCTCAATACCTGTCAATAATTCTTCTGAAAATCCAAAAAAATTTCAAGTTTTTTTTTTTTTTTTTTTTTTTAAAGTACACTTTATCTAATTTTTCACCTTTAAGCTTGTTGGTCATAGAAATTGATTTGCTTATTTCAACAGGAATACAGATGCATTGGACAAACCTGATTCTGGCACCCCAGTGGTGCTGTTTTCCAGTATCAAGCCACTTAATCATGTCCATGTTGTGGCATTTTTGGCATTCACAGGTTTGGAATGCACCTATTTCAGACACAGGCAATGTCACTTCCAAGAAAGCAACAACGGGAGCAAAAAGGTGAAAACAAAGAAGATTTTTTTTTATTCTTTTTAGGTTTAAACTTCATGGCTAGACAATAAGGGTAGCCTGATAGTCTGAGACTAGTGAAATCTCCAGGTTGACTAGCTAGTGGTTCTTCAAAGTGGTAGCTTACTTGTCTTGTCCAAATTTGATACTTCTGTCTTGTTGAATATTTTCGGGTAAGTGGAATTCACACACGGACTAGTAAGGATTGGAAACTACTACTCCAATAGACTAGTAGTGTTAATTTCTAGCCCTGAACTTTTGAAGCTAATATGGGGCATTTGATGATGTTGACTGTGTAACTTTTAACGAAGTTAAGGCAGTATTTAAAGGGGCAGATTATGTGTGGATGTGGAGATAGCTCCTTGCCACATTGCCACAACATTTACACTTGATTGTAATTAAGAAGTATCAACCTGGTGAACTAAACAAACAAAAGACAACATTAAATCCATCCATTTTGATGCCCTTCTGTAAAAAATATATCAATATATACATTTTTCTTATAATACTAACCTGTTTTGGCAGCAGCTCTCATCAGCTCGGAATTAAATAGTTCCCAGAATCCTTTGTTTCCCAGTCCCTTAGCGTGACTAGCTATCAGTTTTCTGGTTGGTTCCCATAGTAACTTGAAGTTTACAAAAATTGATCCTATCAAATACCTCACTGCAACCTAGAAATAGGAAACATAAAAACAGTCAAGACAATGCCGAGTTCTGTCTCATGTTCTAATATAATAATAAAAGATAAAATATCTTTGTTTAAGGAACATGTTTTTTTAACACTACAACAATCAGTGTTTTCCGGATTAATATGACCTGTAACTGCTAAAGCAGGACTCGAAAGTCTTTCTCAAGCATTATTAGACCATTAGGTCTGTGTCTGTAAACGAAAAAAACCTGGTCCACTCTGCCAACATAACCAACGAAGGCAGCCCCGAATAAAGTTGGTATGAAGCTATATTAAATTTCATCCGACCACCTTACTTCCTCTATTACTGCAAAATCAGATATTTTCATGTGGCCCAAATTTTGTGGTTTCCTGACAAATCAGAATTCAGTGGGTACATGAATTCATGGATTACGAGTGCCCACTCAAACGAAGAATTACTTTATATCAACCTTGTAATGACTTTGTGGACCTATGAATTTGTGAATAAAGATTACCCACAAAATCAAAAAAAAAACAAAAAAAAAACAGTGACTTTAAAGGGTCTGGATTTATCTAAACTAGAATGCCACCATTTCTCCATCTGATTGGATTAACTCATCTCTGAATATGTTGTCTTTCCCTAAGAAAATTGTTGAAATGTTGAAAACACCAATCTGTAGTGATGATTCAACCAATTTTGTATGAATCAGTTACCTGGTTTGAAGGTCTACTGGGAAGACAGTTTTGTACAACCACTCACCTCTCTGAAAGGTCCAGCAGGAACTGAGTTCTGCACACAACTGAAGTCCAGCCTTTGTAGAAAAAGCTGGCGCTGTCTGTAGTCCTGAACAGTCAGGGGAACTAACTCTGCCTTCAGACATGTCTCGAACACATTGTCACGGTCTGCTTCCTACAATATACATAAAATAAGAAACCGACACACGGTTGTCTTCATCATTATGAAATATCAAAATTTACAAATTTTTACCAAGAATGAACAACGTCGATGAGTTGGATGGATTCAGAACCCGAACTTATGGAATAATTAAATATATGTCACCTGTGAGAAAAATGTATTTAAAATAATTTTATAATACAGGAGTAAAAAGAACTGATTATAAACTAGACCTTCATAAACATCCAATTCATATTTTTCTTCAAGCTTTTGTGAATATATATCTGACTGAACAAAATTGTTTGTCCTAGTGATGTATGGTCTAATCAATTTCTCTGTAAATGTGATAAAATCTGGTAATGATGCAGACAAAACTTCACCAAGAAAATGAGAAATACTTACAAATCCTTCCACAAATGGCAAACGCACAGTAAAATGGGTCAGGATACGTAGACTGATGGTACGTATCTGAAAACAAAATTTAACCAGAGTTAGTACTCAGGACTGACCAGTTAGTACTCAGGACTGACCAGTTAGTACTCAGGACTGACCAGTTAGTACTCAGGACTGACCAGTTAGTACTCAGGACTGACCAAAAAACAAAATTTAACCAGAGTTAGTACTCAGGACTGACCAAAAAACAACATTTAACCAGAGTTTGTACTCAGGACTGACCAAAAAACACCCGTCAACTGCAATGTAGCATCCCTTAGACTTAATGTAGAATAAAGTGACACATTTCAAACCTTTCTGATGCATTCTTGTATCGAGATGTGTGGAATGTTACAGAAAGAACTACACTGGTAGTGTACATGTTAATTAAGTTGAATTATTTCTTGGATATTGTGAAAGAGGAAAACACTTCGTACTTGATAGCCAATGGAAAAAGACATATGCCTTTAAATTTTTTAGATGCATAATGTGTTAATAGATTGTCTTTCTTAGCCCATATTCTAAACAATTAAAATATAATTTATTTTGTAAAGGGATTTCTTCACGTTTTCAGTACTCTAACTCATCATAAACAATTAAAACTAATCAAATTCACAAGTACATGTATCACTTAATTCCAGACAGATGTTAAAAAAAAAATAACCAGAGTCTGGTCCATATTTAATTAAGCTACGGAAAACAACAAATGAAAACAAAGAAAGTATGCTTAGAAACAAAGCACAAATTTAACCCGACTTGGAATGTCAGCTTAGCTTTGGTATATTGTCATGGTTATCAAATTTTAACAGGCTTGTAAAACTTCATTTTTCATCAAGTGCTAAATACAGAATCTTCCATCTTTTCCTACCCTTACTCATATCAAATACAGGGTAATCATAAACATTAAAACCTGTTAGTGAACATTATTTTGCATTTCTTTTGTTTTCAAGAGCAATTTCACTATCTATAGATTCATATATCAAACATTGATTACAAAACAATACACAAGAGGAACTAACATGTGCGTTCCATGACGTGAGGTTGTCCTGTAGGCATGGAAACACGTCCAGGAGAACATCCTCCTCGAGGACCGTGGCATGTGTGTCCGCCGAGGCCTTCATCAGGTACAGGTTGGCAGAAGTCAGCATATGGATATTGGTGGAGTGAGACCTAAAGTGAAAGACTGAAGGTTGAATAATAATGTGGTGGGACATAAAACACAACTATTTTTGATAATGGTGATGTGGAATCTTCACAGAAAAACAAGAGACCCAATGGGCCTGTATCACTCACCTGGTATTTTTCCATAAGTTTGCCAAGGTCAAATATCTGAATGGAATATTGTAAGATTCAGGCCAAATTTTCTCTTTGAATCTTTGTTAATTAGAAGATCTTGTTGAAGGATTTTAACACTTTTGACTCCTGTGACTATGAAAATTGGTCAAGGTCATTCATTTGAACAAACTTTGTACGTAGCACTCTACCCCAGCATGCTACTGTAAATAGGTGACCACTACTAACAACAACTTACTTGAGTAATTCTGTTATCTGTGATACAGGAATCTTGTCACAGACTCGGGTCACTGTCCTCATATAAATAGGTGACCACTACTAACTACAACTTACTTGAGTAACTCTGTTATCTGTGATACAGGAATCTTGTCACAGAGGTCGTCGTCCCCATGTAAATAGGTCAAGGACACTATAATACTGTAGTACAGGAACAGTAACTGATCTGCAAGTTAAACGAAAACAAACTGTGTTCTTTTTTGACTTACTTCAAACATACAATGAGCCTTATTATCAACAAGCTTGTTCTGAGTGTCAAATATTCTGTGGGGCCAGACTGGGATTCAAACCCTACACTTCAGATTATTAGACCATATCTGAAACCTATACAGCAACCTAGACAATTGAGGTCTACGAGCTTGAATGTGCTACAGTTATGTCATAATGAAAGTTAAGGGGAGGTCACTGTGTATTGGAAAAACAGCAGTGCAGTGGGACAGGGATCCTTAAAGCTCATTTTCATTAGCTGTAGATTTCAGACATTTATTATTCATGAATGGATCATGTAATACCATAAAGTAGCACCAGAGGGCAATGAGGGGACATTTACATCTTTCTAGTTCAGTAAAAGGACATAGCTTCACATTTTCAATGTAATTTTTATAAAATAACATTAATGTTCAATCAAAAAAATAAGCTAAATTTATCGTTTCTGACTTCAAAAACTTTCCAAACTTACCTGTAGATGTTTCATCCAAGGTTTTCTTTATCTGAGTCACGACCTTCCCCATCAATTTAGTCAGGCTGTTGATCCTGGTATCTCTGGTATTGTCCACAGGCCTACAATGACACATTACAACAATAGGTACCATAACACCAAGTCCCCACACACAATTGGTCCTTTAGTTTACATCAATACTGGTCAGCACTTTAATAACACCTATACAGCAAGGATTCGTGGCACACTGTATTGCTGTTTTTCCTATATACAGTAACCTCCCTTTAACTTCCATTTACATATTTTGTAGCACATATGGGCTCGTACACTTCTGTGGTCCAGGTAGCTCAAACGGTTTCAGCGATGGTATAACAATTGAAGTCCAGGGTTCAAATCCGAGTCTGGCCCTGCAGATATTTTACACCAAGAACACGTTTGTTGATTATATTTTATTTAGTTCATCTCGTATTATGTTTTCATAAAAGTCCCACAGCTATACATTTCTTTTCAGAACTGATTTATCAAAGCTTCTGTCATGCCAGAAAAACCAGTTTCCAATGCATAGTGTACTTTTTTGGCAGTGGTACGAGGTTCCTTAAGTGATCTAAGCCCTCTCAAATGAGCAATCTGTACCAGTAACTTAGTTGGTCTCACTAAGCAAACCAATACAGTTGGCTTAGTGGGCCCTAAAAGACTTGTGGACCTGCAAATGATAATGCAGGTCACAGAAGTCTAAACCATGGTTTGCAACAACATGGTTTGAAACAACATCAGATCTCCTTATTTCATAAACAAATAAATCTAATTCTCAGCCTGAACTTCACTTTTTACCACTTTCACTATACAAATTCCCTTTAAATGAAGTTGGATGCTTTTAGCTCCAGACTTATTTTTTGTTTCAGCAGTATGATTTTTAGCTAGCATTTAGACCCATTTTTTTTATAAATAAAGACTACAAAAGATTCACTAATATGCTGATGAAGTAGACCTTTTTTAAATGTGTTAAGCAATCATCATGGTGATTTCAACAATCCTGTATACTGATGTCCTGAATTCGTGCCTGTTACATACCAGACATGGGGCAGGCACAAAACTGCTGACCAAACAAGGCTCCGATGTTCCTTCATCGTCCAAGTCTTTATACCAGCACCATCAATAGTACTAGTCAGGAACTCCATGAACTTTGACCTGCAAATATTTGTGATCGTCTTCTTGAGCAATTGAGGGTTGTCATAACATAGTATAAAGGTGCTAGGGAGATATGTCCTAGATGTCTGTCTTACAATGAACATTTCTAATGAAATGGAGAATGTCATGTTTTTGTAATGTTTAATGCATCTTTTGACTTTATGTCTTTCAAAACAATAATAGTGTTAAGTTTGCCCTTTATTGAAATTTCAATTATTGTAATATAACAAGAAAGAGGGTAGTGTGCTTCCACCAAGGATCAAACACACAATCTCAGACTTCCTAGGTAGACTCTCTACCACTGAACTAAAGGGAACTTCCCATGGATCAAACACACAATCTCAGACTTCCTTGGTAGACTCTCTACCACTGAACTAAAGGGAACTTCCCATGAGCTTGAATGCGACTGAAATCTTATGTACAATTAAAATCTGCCACAGTAAGAATTTTGCAAATTATTGAAATGTTATACACTGTGTTCAATTTGTCCTCTTGTTCAAGCACAAAAGTATGACAGCAATAAATATTGTCTATTTTACAGAGTAATAAACAATTCTCGTCTTCAAAAACTTTATATCTCTTTTACATTATTTATAGACAAATATGAAAATTGTACTGATGATAATTGCAAATACTGAAAGTGAAAAATTCCTTATCTGAACAAATCTGTCTGTTTTTGTTCCCTCCCTACTTTTTAATTTGAAAAGTTGTCCTAACCTTCCTGAGAGTCCAAAGTCTAGAGGATATACATGGAGGTTTTTAAGGTCCTCTTCTTTGCTAGGGAGTGTGGTCTTGTGGAGGAGGATCTGCGTGTACAGACTGAGGACTTGCTCTCTCCCTTCCTCCTTCCCGCTCTCCACGATCTTCAGGCAGTAACCATTCAGAGACATCAACACATCCTGAATGCAGTCAAACATATTTTATTGACATTAAACAGTCAAAGGGATTGGGCACAGGCTCTTACAACTTACTAGGCCTCTCCTACATCCTGAATTAATAAACCAGTGAATTACAACAGTTTGTATCAATCACCTTGTTGACTCACTTCTTATCAGTTACTCAATGAATACTCACCTGACCTTATTATAATAATAATAATTTGAGGTTCTTATATACCGCTTTATCACAACCTAGTTCGTAGGTCGTCTCAAAGTGGTTCACAAATTATTACCCGTGGTTATAGGGCCTTTGAAACCAGTCAATATCTTTCTCAACTCCCTGGAGAGCATACAGCCGGTGCTACCATTTAGGTGCTCACATCCAGCATTCAACAATTCATTCTCTGCCCAACCACATACTCATTTACAGCTGAGTAGACTGGAACAAGCGGAGTAAAGTATCTGGTTCAAGGATACAACACAGGGCCAGGACAGGATTCGAACCTGTGACCATTTGGTCAAGAGCCCGGCATCCTACCACTAGACTACTGTGCCTCTACCTTGGTTTACAACTCACACAGTTGCTCCAGGAAAACTCCAGAAACTCAAGATTTTTGTATTGAAAATTATGTTTTCTAGGAGTCTATGACTTGCTTCTGATTTGTGAAGGTTTTTAATACGAGTCTGAGAAATTAGTAATATGTGGTATGAAATTTTGCGAAAGACTCATTGCCTAAACCACAACAAGTCCAGAGGTAGTAAAATACACAATAGACATTAATGAGGACAGTACCTGTCTTAGCATTATTACACAAACAAGAAAACAAGAATATTGCATATCAAATCAAATCTGCAGACAATTCTGCAGATTAATGGAGAATGATATTCAAACCAATTTAAAAAAAAATTCAAAAGGTTTAATCTTTTTATTTTAAGTTTACTTACCTTTTCAAATATTGGCAATTTGCTTTTAAGCATGACTGTGGCAAATTTAAACAGCATCTCCATAGGGTATGAGGTCTTGAACACCTGTGGGTAAACATTCAAATGTACAGTAAATCATAAACTCCTCAGAAAGCTCATAGATTTCTACAACAATTAATTTGAGGTTTGGTATTTACGTTATTGTCTTTTCTAGCAAAATGCATTGTATGTATATGCAGATTAATTTTTGACAAAATTTACAGTTTGTATAGCTTTATTTACCTATTAACCACCAATAAAAAACCAATGTCTTTGGAAAAATTAAGTTAAGGATGCTTTCAAGAGACCTTTTATGGTTCATGGTTTGATAAAGATTATTTTTTCTTTAGAATATCATGGAAAATTAACTTAGTCCCAGATTTTTCATACTCATTTAAAATGTTGTGACTCATTAGAGGAAGTCTCGTAAGTTTTCTGTTACACCTGACTTCACCAATATTAAGAGGACCGGGTCATTTGGTCGGATTGGACAGTGTGTCTGTAAACCTGTGTTTACCGACATTATGAAGGACTGGATCATTTGGTCAGATAGGACAGTGTCTGTAAACCTGTGTTTACCGACATTATGACGAACTTGATCATTTGGTCAGATAGGTCAGTGTCTGTAAACCTGTCTTTACTGACAATAATGGGGACTGGATTGTTTGGTTAGATAAGACATTGTGTTGCTGAAGCAAGGCTCAAAGACAGTGAATCTGGTATTCATTTATGTCACACATCACAGGTTGGTCTTGAATTCAGGTGTCCAGTATAACAGTACTAGACCTGGCTAGCAGGGTTACTTACAGCAGACACCAGTTTGGCAGTGTTGGCTATAGCAGTCTGAGAATGACCGTGTAGGAGGAAGGCTGCTACCGTGGAAACAAGCTCCTCGCCGACAGAGACTGGCAGGCAGGCTCCCTTCAGCATTGGCAATAAAGTCTGAAAACAAAGAGGAATCCAATTCTCATACACACACATCATCAACGTACCACTAATCTGTGTGAAAAACTTCAACTCTTCAACTGCAGTTCAGCAGAACAGTTGCTACAACATTATCAAAATTTTCAATACAACATTATCAAAATTTTCAATAAATTAAAATAACATCAAAATTTAAACTCTACACCAAAAAGTATAACTTCTTTTCATGTTTGACTTTTTGCTAAATAAAATACTGAAAATAAAATATAGGCCTTAACAATGACAAAACAAAATCCAGAACTGTAAACGACTAACTTTTAATATACAAAAGAAAAAAAGAATATCTAAGACCTCAAAAAGACACACAAAAAAAAAATCAAATGTCTAAATATTCACCATTAGTGTATTTTGGTTGGATAAAGTTTGAGCTATAATTTTTGCACGATGAATGAAAAGAAATGTACAAAGTTATTAAAAGTCATGAAATATTGAAATGAGAATATTTTTTTTAAATGTGTCATATTTAGTCTAGAGAGTTTGACAATTGTTACCGTGGCAATGGGGTTGTGACATCAGAGAATTTGACAATTGTTACCGTGGCAATGGGGTCGTGACATCAGAGAATTTGATAATTGTTACTGTGGCAATGGGGTCGTGACATCAGAGAATTTGACAATTGTTACCGTGGCAATGGGGTCGTGACATCAGAGAATTTGACAATTGTTACCGTGGCAATGGGGTCGTGACATCTGATGATGGCTCCCTTCCAATGATTCAGCCAGATCTGTGCGAGACGGAGTAAGCGAGCTACATGTTTGGCCGCCTTGGCCTTGTCTGGACACTGGGGGTCTAACCAGGACTGGTGCACAGAGGTTACGGATGTCTGGAACACAATATGGACAGTATTATTAACAGGGCTATAGTAAGGTCAGGGTTGGTATGGGTACAGCAGAGTTTGATTACTTTTAGGGGGGGGGGGGAAACCAGCATAACAATGCTAAAGAAAGTAAAAAATAATGGGGGGGGGGTGTTCAACTTTACCATCAATAATCATTCTTTCTGACATCTTCCATAATTTTCAGTGTTTACTTTTTCTCTCATTACATCACACTTACATAGCTTTGGTAGAAGACCAAAAGAAGCACTCTACCCAGTGCTCTTGTAAATACAAATCTAACACTGACAGGTTAGCAAGGGTCCAGCCATGTGTCTGACCGTAACTCCTATGGTCTATTTTAAGTAACAGTGACCTTGGCCTTAGAAACTTTCTAAACCTATGCCACAGTGTATGTAATAAAAGCCAGATGGACACTGTGATTACCACAAGGCACCTGCATCAGAGATGTAGGGCTCTAATCATTTGGCTCAGAGAGTGTAGATATTCCATTTACACAATCACTTGTCATTGAACTTCTATCTTGATCTGATTTATCTAACACATTGCCACCAGATAAAAAATGTCCCGCATAAATAAACATTAATGGACCTAACAACTTTACCCAATACAAATTTTAACTATCAAACAAGCCAACATTCCTTAGCCCTGTTTGGTTGTGCATTACAACGAATGTATTCCTACCAGAAAGATTGTCCATGCATCCTCAAAATTGGCTTTATCAATGTTTTCTGCCATTGAGCGGAAACACTGGGCCATGCATTCCTCCACAAGTTGCCAGGGTAATGGTTTCACTTTTTTCTCCTGTTGGCAGTGGCCAAGTTTGGACAGCAGTATTGGGAAAATCTACAACAGAAACATGGCGAGGGCATTCAGATATGTAAATAAAACAAACATACTATAGATACATGTGTGCTACAGTATTACAACAAACAACAGCAACACAGCATCAAGTTTTACTACACGATGTTGAGTTATTCAGTAGTTAAGATCGGGACAAGGGTTTCAATGATTGGATGTCATGTGACCCCTTGAAGTGACCTTGAGGTATGTGGCTGTGAACGATGCATGACCCACTCTCTATTTGTAATATATTCATGTATAAGTTTCATACACGTTCAGCAGGTAGAATATATAATCAAATTCATCATTTCAGTCATTTAATCTTTCCCTTCTTGCTATGATCTTGAATTTTGATGGATGGGTATGAGATTTGTATGCAACAAATTGTCCAGTCAAGATACCGTACATATCTATGATATTTAAAACATAACTGTTGTTCAGAAGTTCACAGTGTGTAAACATTTTGAACCACTCTCAATTTCAGGATTACAGCAATGTCTTCTTATAGTAAAGCCCAAGAGACCAAAACAAGGTGTCATTTTAACTATTATTTAACCCTTTCACCACTGTAGACCATAATGGACTCATCCAGATCATAGCAGAGTTTACTAAAGTTACAAAGGGTGAAAGGGTTAAGACAATATTGCACATATAAGTAAACTTACTGAGAGTACACAAAGTTTTAACTGTTATATACATATTAATTGTTAACCTATTTCACAGTACTCCTTGAAGATAATTATGTTCAAATGTAGGTACAACATTTCACCTGTTAAGGATCTCTGTACCACTGCCAACAACTGGAACCAAGTGCTGGAAACTGTTTTTTCCAGCATGACTATAGCTTTTATAAATCATTTCTTGCAGGACATATCAAGAGAAATCTTAAAGCTGAATAAATCAAATAGAATCCTCATAAATGTTCCGAGTGTCACCCTGGCGTTCAAAATTGTTATACATGTACTAGTTCTCTAACCAATTGACCTAGCTGGTCGACGCAAATGTCCTAGTCCAATTGTGCTACAGTTTTATCCAAACAGATGTTAAAGAGGATGTTAATGTATATAGGAAAAACCACAGTGCAGTGGGACAGGGATCCTTTAGAGCACTTAGAAACAATACATGGCCCAACAAAATCTCTCATATTATCAGCCTTAATATACAGGGCATGGCCTAACAATGCTCTCCTCACCTATATTTAGCCCCAACGTACAGCCCCATAAAATATCTTCTCACCTCATTAGTCCTATATTAAACACAAAGCCCTACAAAACCCCTCCTCACCTTGATGGTACAGCTGTGAAGTTGTCGTTTTACACCTTTCAACATCTCAAACATCAGTCGCCCCAACCCATCAGCTTTCTGGAACAGAAAATATATTTTTTCAACATTAATCTGTGACTAGACAAGATGTTTAATGAATATTTATTTAAATATTTGTCCTGGACGTATTTTTTGAAGTGTAGCCGCAAAATAAATGTTTTTAAAATAGAACACTGATAGGTCAGCAGGAGCCATGCATTGTGCCTGACCGTATATATCCCTCATTATCGCCATTGGATATGTAACATAATTAATATAGCACCAAAATGAATACAGGTGGTCAGAAAGAGCAGCACAATGATTTTTTTATAATATGTCCACTATTATACTTTTAGTAACACTTATTTACTTTGACATAAGAAACTTCTTGAACCCCATATCGTAAATCTACATAAACAGTAACAGAGTTATTACCATGTGAAATTTTAGCCTCGTGGATTATGGAAAGATCTCGGGAAACAAACGTGTGACAGACTGACACTGTGATGACCATACAGCACCTATATCCCTACTCCAACAATGTTAGAGGTTTTACACGGCGAAAAACTTTTGACAGGCGCCGCGTAACCTCTAACTGCCCATAGCTGATTTTCCCGATGCTGACTATCACATTTTCAAAGTTCGGATTAAGAAAGAGTATATCGTGTTTACATACATTTAAATGGTCAAAAGGGTCCAATAAATATTCGTTTCCATAAATCCATGATTATATGAGAAAAATTTCATGACAAAGACTTAAATAATGAGTTTTAACCTCATTCGGAGCGAAGCAGACAGCATTTGCCATGATTTTTCCGGTTAATACAAAAATGGATTACATGTAATGTTTCCCAAGCGGAATACAAACAAACTCCGTATCATTTCGTTGCGTTTGAAATCCCCCCTGATATTTTGTATTAATCCAGAAGCCATGTTTTAAATGTAGGTCAGAGATGTGCTACAACGACATGGACATGTATTTTGAGTGTTCTATTCCGTAATATACAATATATTTGTGTCTGTGACATATATATGAGATCTATATTATATAAACCGTGAGTAGACATCGTTTTCATGAACTGTTAACCACTTATGTGAGTTTTTCAAGCCGATTTTGTTCCGCCCGGATTTCGGGCGGAAACTGCATCAAAGAATTAGTGCTTCGGAAATGAGAGGTCGCAGTCGGCAAAATCATATCCGATTGAAAAAAGGCTGACCAGCGGCCTCTCATGTTATGGGAGTACTATATCCCTGATGTGGGGCCATGTGGCCTGAAGATAAGATCTAGAGTGTGTTTCTCTTTTCCAGTAAATGTCAATGTGTTCTGGTTGTATGGAAACCTTTGATTACTTACTTCTGGAGATTGTGACAGGGATTTAAACAGAAAATCAAACAGTTTCCCATGATCCTTGACCTGAAATAAATATTGACATAAAAATGAAAACATTACTGTTGCAAGCACTTTTATATAGCACAGCTTGTGCTCAGTTTGTAGTAAACAACACTAATCAAGTGACTGTCCTGTTGCCAAGTCTTGCCAGATTCTTTGTTTGAGTTCAAATCAACCAGATCCTATGAGTGCAATGATATGCACCAGCTTTCATTAGAGCATTATGGGGGAAATGTACGGCAGAACCAATTTAATTTGGCCTTAGATGGAACAAATATAACTTCTTATATCTTACAAATAATTTGGTTTCAACCTAAAACATCTGTACTGCATTCATAAAACAATAGAACACAAGATGATCTCCTCCAAAATATTTCCTAAATACATTACAATAAAAGAAATATCTTGATCAAACGAAATTGAGTTCTGGAAAGTTACTTTAAATAAAGATGTACAGGTAATCACTAAATGTCTAGTAAGACTGTCAGTCATGTGTGTACAATCAATGAAGTGTCTCATACTTCTTTTGCATAATTTCTATTTGTAATGCAACAAACATTTAACTTATGTAGTCACATAATCCATTTATAACCAAATATTTATAAGTAACCAACACTTATCCCGTTACCTTTCTCATCAGGAACGCGAAGCTTTCTGCTGCAAACTGTCGGATATACTGTTTGTTTTCTTCACTAAGCAGGCTCGAGTAAAACCTGACAAAAATAAACATTACTGTAACATTTAATACTGCACCAACGGTCATTCCTACAATTCTAATTCAGCAACAAAGAGCAGTACACATCAGGTTTGGGATACACTCACAGCTAGTAACAGATTTAGTTCAACACACTTCTGAAACAGCAGATTTGTTGTACCATTTCTTCACATGATTGTTCTGTAAACTCTCGACCAGATTAAAGAGTCAACATTTCTATTAAACTGTATTTAACATAAACAAACTTATTTTGTCTATTTTTCTATGTTTCTTATATCCTAATATCAAATATTCAAACACTCATCGAAACAACCCGACCACTGTTGTCTTTGCGAACCTCATAACATTTATTTCTGATTTTGTGCTATCTTTTATTCATTCTATTTTCAACATATTCATATCCACATTGTTCAATTCTTGTTCTTGTTGATCTTAACACCAATAATAAAATCCCACCAATGTTTCCATTTCATTTGAAAAGAAACAATATTTTCTTCCTTGTATCTTATAGCACCTAAAACAAAGGAAGAGACCAGTGTAATTTATGTTTTGAAAGCTATTATGGATACCGGGGTATTTTTGTATTGCTTTTGAACAATAAAATATGTTTATATCAAACATTACAACACGAGACTGATATATAAAGAGATAAGGTTATTATTTCAGGAGTGTAAGTCAAAATTTCTGTTCTACCTAAAGACAGCTTCCACGTCCCCCAGGAGGCATATTATCTCTGTAACTGTTACATACTCAATTAAGGAGGTACAATATGCCCTTCCCATGGACAAATGTCTTGTCTTTGAGAAGGTAAACCATCACACCCATAGACAAATGTTATATTTTTGAGGAAGCACAATTAATTTCTATCCTACCCATAGACAGTCTCCATGTCCTTGAGGAGATAGCGCCACAGGAACTTGAAGATATAGGATAGGGCGGAAAACAACTTCTCCATCAGGTCCGTGTCCTGTGTGTTTCGGTTCAGCAACTCAACCAGCAGGGTGAAGAAGTCTGGGAAGTGTTTGTAGAAGTCATGCTGAAAGTCACGTGCCAGCTGTACCAGTAAACTGTGAAAATAGAGTAAACAAAAGTGTAATCTGACATAACCATTAGAACCCGTAATATTTGTCATGTCTAATGTCGCCTAAAATAATCATTTTTGGGTACAAAGTCTGAAATAATTCTTGTATAAAAGTCTCAGTTTGATATCTCAACTTCCTTTACAACTGTTCAAATGTAACCTGAACTTTACATGAAAAGACTTAAACATTAATGATATATTTTGCAACATTATTTTGTATGGTTCTGAATTTGGCCAGACGAGATATGCTTTGAGAATGGACGGACAGTTAATTGTGTCTTGTTGAAATTATAATAAATTTATGCAATATATTCAGTCTGAATTAATCAATACAAGAAAGTTAAACCAACATATATATTTCAAAATGTGAGTTCCTTTTTTAGTAAATTGACAAGCTATTAGAAGACATTTTGAACAAAAGTTTTATCTTTTACAAGTAAAGCCAAACCATTTAAGAAGGACATATTTTGCTATACAAAATTTGAATATGCACTGAAACACAAAAGGTCACCTGTTGTGGTAGAGTATGTATACACCTTATGTATCTAACTTGATCACTTTAGTGTATATATCTATTGACAAAAATAACCCTTCCATGACTTACTCCAGCATTGGTTCGTAGGCCAGCGTCTTTGGGATCATGAGGTGTTTCTTGAGCGCTGCCACAATCTGTGCCTACAAACAGACATCCATTACATCTCAGTTCATCATTGATCCATATTGTATCACTCAACATGTTTTTGTAAGAAAACTGCATTGATTTTATAAATAACAGAGTACCTGTTTATCACAAACAAAGAACAATTGAATCTCATTCATCCAGTAACCTTCATTCACAGATCAAATGGCTAGATGGTGAGACAGAATTACCAGATATTTTTTAACAAAAAAAACCCACATTGCTGTATAACTACAGAGCAGAAATCATAACAGGGTTACCAAGAAGTCACAGACCTACCCTGGAATCAAACCGTGAGTCTGGTAAGAGGGACAACAACTTTCTGTACTGGAAACCTACTATAAATAACTATAAGTATGTCACCAAAAACCACTGTCATCACATTTGGACAACATGCTTTGTAGTGGTGTCCAGATTTAAACAGCATCTTTGCATGTATCAGATAGACAGGTTGACAATCATTTATATAACAGAGCTGACAGCAGTGGAAATATAACCATTCCTATAGTCAGAATAAAATCTGTGTATCTGTGTGTATAATGTCTAAGTACCCATTCTCACCGTGATTTTACAAATTTATTTTTTTACTTTTTACCAAGCTGTAGCCTCTCCATTGCTAGTGTGCTGACATACCTCGTTATGGACCAGCTGAGTGAAAGACTGGACCTGCTCACTGATCTCCTTTCTGAATTCAACTGAAACAAAACATCAATCGAAACTTTTATGATTCATGTGCTTAGAATTGTTTTTTTAGCCAATTTTCAACATCCAGTAACACTATGAAAGTAGTTCAATTCAGAAGCTGCTGCCACATTTCTAATATTACATTGGTTTAGTAACATTACTTAACAACAACAAGATATATCTATTTACATTCACATACGTCATAGATAACAATTGATGATGTTATGGGTTGAAATTTCAATTCTGTTCACCAAGTTATTTTGTTGCCATTTAACTTTCATCTTTTTTTTTAAGTAATAAGGGCAAGTTTATCCACACAGTGAACACTAAAACACAACATATATATACTGTATAGTGGCATTACCGGCACATGTGGATGGCAAAATAAATGCTGGATGATTTATGGATTTTTTTGGCGAATGTTTGACTGGGCAAATGTTGGTAGATATACAGTCATCAAAAAACAAAATGTATTAAATTGATAAAAGTTGTACTAATGCTTCGAATTATTCATGATATAAATATAAACTTTATTTATCTTACAACAATCATGAAACCATTTTTTTCAACTTATATTTATCACTCTTGTTGGCCCGGATGTTAGCGTGTGGGGGATCTCATTGTGGGAGGAAACCGAAGTACCCGGAGAAAACCTAGTCATGTAGTTGAGTAGGTGACCATTTCGTGTACGATCAGGGAATTAAAGCCGGGGCCGCCTTGGTGAAAGGCAAGTGCACTATATCCACTGCACCACCTGACCACCCAATTATTCATATGCATGGATGCAGTCCTTTCAGGAAGAAATAAAAAATAAACAATATTGTACTTTATTTTACATACTGAAGTGAGCTGTCTGGTTGAGCTCGAGCCATTTCTCCAATGCTTCCCCAAAGTAGGTAGAGTGTTCCTGTAAAAATAGATTGATTTATCATCATAAAACACAGACTGATCAATTAAAATACTACGGGATCATGCTTTCTATATGTCAATTGCTAATTGTTGAACTCATTGTTCAACTAGATTAAGGAAAAGCAATTAGAAGTACGTGTAAAATCTTATCAGCATTAACAAGAGGAATATTCCCTCTTTTCAGGAAACTTTTAAAACTTACAAATTATATCCGTGTCAACAAGTAAAGCATATTAAGTTATATTTGAAAGGTTTACATATTTTCTTTCTTCATCAAACGCTTATAACAAACAAGCAAGTTAGCTTTATGGTTGACTTTGCATATTATAGTTGAAAAAAATTGTCCTTTACAACAAAAATATTGTCAATTTTCTCTGATTTGGAGCAATACCTTATATCTCCTGATGATCAGACTTACATGACAAACGGTATGTGCTATTATAATTACTAACGTATATATGTAGCACTGTGTACATAACAAGGTGTGCTACATTGTGAACTTACCCCCGGTGTATCATCATGATGTCTTATCTTATGGATTACATCAATATTGATATCAGAAATCCGTTCAGAAAATGTTTGGAACTGAAAAGAATAAAAGAATTCATTGATATTAAATTTATCAGAGGAAGGAGGATGAGGGTGTCTGTGTATCGGTTTGAAAGATTGCTTTGGAATATTTTTAGAAAATGAATTAATAGCAAGGATAGGTCATGTATACTTCATGTGCTATGTAAATAATTTTAAAGAAAAAAACATCAATCAAAAAGAAATAAAACATGGACAGTATTATGAAGATAAATACAGATGGAACAATGTGTTATACAAAATCATTTAAAGGGTTAAATTTAAATGTATTCCCATGCTCTAGGGATAGTTCATACGTGGCTATATTCACGGTCTTGCTTTTTAAAAAGTAATCTAATAGTATGTATACATTCTTTTTAATGAGACACATCGTTTGTTTTCCCTACTTGTTGTTCAATCCCATTTGGAAAAATAAATAAGGTGGTCAGGAAATTGTTCAGCTAATTAATTAATGTCAATCATGTTTAAAACGTCTAATATTGGTTTTTACTGTTACTGTAAATGTAATATATTAAAACCGACACACACAGCTGATTGCGAGGTGTTTTGTTAGTACGTGTATGTAACATAAGGAGAAAAGACCCTTGTTTAAATCACAAAAGGGTATTCACACAGGGTCGAGAAAACGATAACATGATGCTTATGCAGTGCCACATAACTATACTATGTACATATTTGATTATTAAACACACATTTTCAGACCTTGAACCTGAGATGAAAACACATATCTCAAAAATGTATGCGGTAATGTAATTAGAGAATTGTCATTTAGTAAACACATACACGTGACAGGTTCTACTGGAGATTTCTGAAATCATATATAGGAGCCAAGATAAACCAACCAATATTTACAAATTTAAAATATCGTAAAAATGTAACTTACTCTGAACGTATTCTCAGATCTATGGTACGAAGATTTCCCCATTTTGCGTTGATTATTTGTCAAACTCTCCAAAACTCAATCAATCGCATGTGGTACCATGGGCGCAGCCATCTTTGAATGAATCAAACATCTGCATGACACAGATGTCAAGCATTATATTGACGTCGAATAATCGTGTGTGGGTGGTGAAGTAAGGAGCTGTCAGATGTGAAGAGAAAGTAAGCAACAGCTGGAACATCATGTCTTATTCAAATGGTAAGACTAGTCCCGTCTTTTGTCACTTACTCAAATTACAGAACAAACCGTTTTTGAAGTTCACCACATTGCTAAGAAACTCATGACCACCAACAAAAAAATGACCATTAGCATCATCATCTGCCCTGCCTTACAATCTAGATATACAATAATATTTATTTAACGTCACATACCATAGACTTACAAACATTAGCTCAGTAGAGCTATTTCTGCCACACATCTTATGTCATATTTATGCAAATGCACATTAGTGTTTTAGATATTTATAATTATAAAATTGTATTTAGTTAATTATTGGTTAATTGTAAATGGTGAAAATTCAATTTTGTGATGCATGCGTTGTATTGTGAATCAATCACGGATTCAGTGATTGGATAAAGCACACTAAGGCTACTTTCATGTTTTTGCCAATCTGACACTTTCCATGAGTCGTGACTGTATATGCATACATCTGAATCATGATGAAATAAAGGTCAACTGACTGATTACATATTTGAGATACAAACCCTAGTGCAGGCTAATTATCTACCAGTGTGGCAGACTTTAATTGTACATAGAATGTTACAGTCGCCTTCTAGCTTCGAGCTAGAGGGAATTTCCCTTTAGCTCAGTGGTAGATCGTCTGACTAGGAACCTAGGGATCGCGGGTTTGATCCCTGGTAGAAACACACTTTTCTCTTTCCTCATATAAATGGTGTCAGTGGACCTCCCTGTGGTTACAGGGAGTTAAAACCTGGGTTGTGGTGTCAAGGGTGAACACATTTAAAAAGGGGGGTGAGTAGTATGGCAGATTTTAGTAGGATTACCACCGCAAGGCTGGCTTCGAGCTAGAGTGAATTTCCCTTTAGCTCAGTGGTAGAGCATCTGACTAGGAACCTAGGGATCGCAGGTTCAATTCCTGTAAAAGCATACTATTCTCTTTGCTGTTACACCAACAGCACATTGACACCTTTGCACATGTATATGATGAGTGTTTGTCTGGGTCCATGTACATGTATTACTGTTATGATGATTTTTTTTTCTTTTTAATGGATGTCCAGCTAAAGATTTTTAAAGTTTCAAATATATATACATGCCACCCTGGTAAAATACTAGCAGCTTCCTACTGACTTGGCTAGGGAGAATTTCTCTTTAGCTCATTATGAGGCATTGAAAAAATAATGACCTCTATTACATACACTTGCGTGTAGCATTTGTATAGGTTTGAAAGGGGTAGTATTTATGTAATAGCATCAAGATTTAACATCACTTCGATGTGCAAATATGAAACAGAATACATGTACTCAAGTTGTGTATTTAATGTTATAAAAAATGTCAGATATTGTACATGTGCAGGTAAGGAATAGCATTGCGACTTGCTCAATGTAGCATTTTTCATGGGAGTTATTTCCCTTTGAACCTAAATATTTGAGTATTTGAGGTTAGTTGAACTCTAGTATATCAGTAACATACTGTACAGGGTACACAGTGTCTTAATTGACATGGGTGGCGCAGGGGGTAACACACTCACCTTTCACCAAGGCGATTATAGTTTGATTCTCTGATTGGACACGAAAATGTATGGGGTCACCTGCCCAAACCCACAACCCACAGTGGTTAATAAAAGTTTGAATAAGCACACAATTGTGGTAAAATAAAATGAAGTTGATATAATTGTCATGTACCCATGCACCATCTGTACATTGCACAAAGCGTTATTTCTTGCTAAGTGGTAGAGCTCCTACAAGGAGGGCATGGTTTCTTTACAATATGTCTTTTTATAACAGACTGGTGCCACTAACCAGCCTTTGTTTCAATACCTTTATGTGTTTGGTAAGGTAATATCTGAGCCTGGATTGTAACAGTGTTGTCACGGGGACAAAGGCTTGTCATGTGTAATGGATGCATATTGTACATAGTTCCAAAGTCACCTTAACTTGCTTCAGCCAGGGGGAATTTCTCTTTAGCTCAGAGCATCAGACTAGAAAGTCTGAGGTCACTGGTTTGATCCCCAGCAGTAGCACGTACGTATCACAGTGTGTGTTACATCCTACCACAATAATGTTAACATTAAGACCTCCGAACCAAAACCCACAAAACAATGTAATTGTAACATTACCTGTATATCCCTGAACTGCCTGGATCCAGTACAAGTTTCTTCATAAGTTTGTGCACAGACGCTGAGTGTTCAAATCTAATATGGCTTCCCTAATACAGCCAATCATTGTGTTTCTGTTTGCAGGGGCAATTAATAACATGACAATGAGCTTGTGTATTGTCTTGTGAAAGGAAACATATCATTTTTTGTATGAAGAAGTGACAAATTAGTAACTTGTATGACTCAAATTATAAATATATCTGTGGCAGATTTTAAGTGTACTAAGGATTACTGTCGCCTTCTAGCTTCACGCTAGAGGAACTTTCCCTTTAGCTCAGTGGTAAAGCATTCGGCTAGGAAGTCTAGGATTGCAGGTTCCAACCCTGGTGGAAAGCACACTACTCTCTTTCCTGTTACATATCATTGAACTATAGATAGTTATAGTTATTTTGATAATAGGTAAGTGAAATATTGTATAGAAGCTTTTGACTACATGTAGGTCTGGTAAAAGGTTGCACAAACCTGTCTTGTTGTCTGGGATTGAAGTCTTAAAAATACGAGGAAGAATGCAGCAGGTCTGGCCTGTGTCCTTCTTTGATAACATGCAGGTAGTGCATTTCGTCAGATTCTGTTTCAATTTCAGAAGTTTCAAATCAAATCCTAGTCAGGCCTATTGCATTTGTGTCTGAAACCAAATCTTGTTGTGATTCATAAGGCGATACCCAAACCTGGGTTGTAAATAGTGAAGTGTATAAAAAGATTTGAAAAAGAGATCAGTTGTAGGTGACCTCCACTCAGATGTGACTAAGTCGCTCACTTAGTTAGACCACTACAAATAAAAGGCCAGGCTATGTTAAAATGATCTGTTCTCTCTGTTAAGGCTTTCTAAATGTAATCAAAATAATAAAAATATTTTCAAATGTAATTATTAAATTAAAATATTTTCAAATGTAATTAAAATGTATCTATTGTATTACAGATGATGGATGATGGCCTAAGTAAGCCCTGAATGACACGGGGGTACATCGTCCAAGTCACAGATGGAAAGTATTCCTGTTGTAGACCTGACGTCACTAAGATCCAGCCTCTCCACTCTCACACTACAAAGTGATGTCCACTCCTGCAGAACAGTGCTAGCCAAGGTCAGTATCTGTCACAGAGATATCTTGTTAACTTGGTGCACAGTGAATTCTTTTATCCCTATGTAACTTTAGTAAACTCTACCATGCATTGATCTGGTTGAGTCCATTATGGTCTACAGTGGTGAAAGGGTTAAATGAAAATTTCCAACCATGTTTGAAATTGGACATTCTTTATATCATGTTATCCTGTTGGTGTGTTATAAGGCCAAATTTTAAAAAAAACTTGTGTTTCCACTAACTCTCCCTACCATAGATTTGTGTGCCTAATCTGAAGTTGTTATAGTCCTCTAGTGATACCACTTTTAGAACTCCTGCTCTATATAAGCAGAGTAAAAGTATTTTCTAAAATAGAAATAATTGCCTGCCTATAGCTACCTGCCCTAATTTTTCTGAGGATGACAGCTGAAACTCAAGTTGTTGTTTTTTTGCCTAATACAATTATTATGTTGCTATACAGGTGACCTATCACACACATACATTATTAATTTTGTATATGATTATATTTTCTTAATTCTTTAAATCCATTCATTTAAACAAAATTGAATGTAATAGCTTGCTTACTTTGTGATATAAATATTCATCATTTCATCAAACAAATTTATAATGTTAAAAACAAAGAAATAATAAATCAAGTTGCAGTGATAGAACACTCTGTTCTTGTTCCCATTTTATTCATCCATCAATTTATATTCATGAAAATTTGGTCAAGGAACATTTAAAAATACAGTGAAACTTTAAAGCTGTGAAACTTTCTGACAGTATGGTTAACATTCCTTGACCAAATTGTGTAGGTGTTTTGTTTAACGTTACTCAATATATTACATTAAAAACAGTTTTTTCACATTCACAGGTGTTAAGAATTTGTGAATCATATTCAGAGCATGAAAGTCGTAAAATTAAAATCCCACAAAAAAATACTGGACAATACCAGTAAGTTCTACAAAACTCATGAAGAATATAATTCAAACAAACAGCTACGAATAAAAAGGAAAGCAAATAAAAACCACTGAAGAACATCACAATGTAATTAATCATTAATGTTGGCATCTTTCAGGTTCTTGCTGCGAAAACAAATGGCATGGATTTGACGGACATGATTCCAAAGATCTTGAAGCTTTTAGCTCATCCAGACCTCATAGCAAAGAAGGTTGTGTATTCTATTTTAACAGAATATGCACATCAACAGCCTGACATTGCTTTGCTGGCAATCAACACGCTAACACAGGAATGCTCGAACGGCAACCCAATGGTCCGCGGCTTGGCTTTAAAAACGGTTTGTTCACTCAATCATGACAACTTTTTCGAGTATGGTCAGACTGCCGTCGATTCAGCCTTGAAGGACAGTAGTGCTTTTGTGAGGCGGGTCGCAGTGAACTGCTGCGGAAAGCTTCATCACAGATCCCCGAACGTCTGCCAGGAAAGTGGACTGACAGATAAACTCTACCAGATCATACGTGACCCGGACCCTATTGTAGCTGTCAATGCTGTCATGACCTTAGAGGAAATTTTGAGAGATGAAGGAGGACTTGTGGTGAATAAAAACATCTCCCATTATCTGCTGAACAAGCTAGAGAGCCTGACTCCGTGGGGACAGATATACATAATGAACGTCTTAGTCAGATACACGCCCAAGTCAGAGGACGAAACTTTTGATATTCTGAATGTTTTGGATAAATATTTAACCCACAACAGTTGTAGTGTGTCTCTAGCTTGTTTGAAATTATTTAGTCACCTTACCAAAAATCTCCCTCATTTAAGAGAAGAAGTATTAAAGAGAAGTCTTACTGGAATCTGTTCCGTTTTAACATCAGGGAATCACGAACTTGTATATTGTGTCATTGAAGTTTTGGAAGAGTTTTTGAAGGAGGCAGGTGGTGTCATATCATGTCAATATAAAAATATATTCTGTAAGTACAAAGAGCCTGTCTATCTGAAACAGAAGAAAATTGACATGTTACCGTCGCTTGTTACGGAAGATAACGGAAGTGAGATTTTAGACGAACTCTGCCTGTATACAACCGATTCCTCCAAGTCTGTATCACTTAGTGCTATCACTGCCATGGGAACAGTGACCATGGTTCAACCCTCCGCCATCAAATACTGCTTCACCAAATTCAAGCATCTGATTGAGACAGATGTGGCGTACATTTTATCCAACACACTCCAAGTCTTACAGCGTATAGACATGCGCCACATGGAGGAATTCACTGACCTTGTCAACCTGATCACCACCAAAATTGACCTGCTCCAAGACGACGCTGGTAGATGTGCCTTCCTGGCAATACTTGGCCGGTACGGAGACAAAATTACAGATAGTCCGTATGTCCTGGAAGATTTCCTGGAAATGTTTGATGAAGACAACATTATGAGTCCCCTTGTACAGCTATACGTGTTGACAACTGCTGTACAGATGTTTTACCATCACCCCGGAGTTTGTCAGGGAATGCTCGGCGAGGTCCTGGAGACGTGTGCTGCCTCCTCGAACAAAACTGTACATGACCAGGCCGTATTATACTATACACTGATGGCTACTGATGTTAACGCAGCCAAAGAAATCCTCATGTGATCCTCCAATACTGCTACACTGACAACCTGTACTACCTACAATAAAACTTTGAGTGTGATGTCCAATATATTGTGATCAACAGCTGCCAAAAATCAAATTTTATTATGATGCTTTTACATAGGTCACCTGATGACAACCGACAACTGCCACAGATCAAATTCTCATCAGCCACAATGAATGTCTGATGTCATTCCCTAACAAACAGGAAGTGATTTCATTGGCTAAACAAGGTTCACCTTGACCGCCCTGACACATGACCTTACGACTCCCTGTTCAGATATTGTATTACCGAACGGTAATCATAATTACCTATACCCTGAGTACATACTGTACATTAACACTTAGCTACCTCCTGTCTAGTGGTAAAATCTAAGTTGTATCACCAAAACAATGCCTTGTAGAAGTTTGATATCTCTAGCTGTGTATAACAAAGGGCATGATTAAAGGGAAAACTACATGTATCTCTGTTTAATATTATTTTATTAATAACAATATTAATTTTACAACCTATATACTGTATGCTGGGAAATTTTCGGTGCCATTTAATTTTCACCTTTTTCACCCTTCTTAATGAAGGCAAATTTCTCATCAGTAACAGAGAATAATTGTAAACACCATGATATAAATAGTAATTAAATTTGAAGGGCAAAATTAATATTGGGTGAAAATCGATTTTACCATTGAAGCTCGAAAATTTGACACGACAAAAAATTCTCCATATATACAGTTCACTAAACTTGGTGATAGATCGTAAAGTAACCGTTCTTCAAATGTGGTGACAGTCGCAAATTTGGAGTTACACAACTATTTCAACGACCGTTTGGTATATTTTCGTCAAACATGATCGCTAAAATGTATCAAATGTGGTCGTTTAACATAATTTTTGGGCAAGTATTGGACGGTCGCTGGTCGTGTTAGACAGATGGTCGCTTAATACAGTTAAATTACATAGTAAAAACGGTCGGGAGGAATGAAAAGTGGTCGCATAAAACAGATGGTCGTTTAATAGATGGTTGCTTGAGCAAATTCGACTGTACTGTAATTATTATACATCTTGCAGCTAGTTATAACATGAGCTAGAAACAAGTGGTAAAATAAATAAGGGATCAGACATACATATTGTTTTTTTATAAGATTTTAAAATCCACTTTGTACACCTTCAATATTTGTGACCTCGTTGATTGTATTATGTATGTACCTTCAATGGTTGTTATCTGTTAAAGTAAATAAGGCTGTTTTGTAGAAAATGGGATTAATTCATATTGAGAATCAATATGATCCCTGTATTAAGTTTTTAGTGTTATAGATGGATTTCATATGATTTCCAGTCTCGTTAAGCATTATTGACAGGTTTCTAGCTGTAATGCATCAAAAATGTTATGTAACATACAAACTGTTTGATTATATGAAGCTTGAGTTTTGATATACCTCAAAATCTTATCCCAACAGCAACTAACAACTAACAAGCAAAATTGCATTACTGCTTCACATTTTATAAGCATATTAAGATGGGTTTGCTTTAAATCAAGGGTTTTCAGGTTTTAAACTTGTCCAGATGTGTACAGTCAGTATACATATCCACAACTGTATCTATTAAATTTCTGTTAATCAAATGAGTGTAAATACATGTATATGACAGGTGAATATTTAAATCTTACTCTTTACAGTTAAATATTATATGCTACAATGTACTTAACACAATATACCTGGGATCTATGTTAGAGTTAAGGTTATATGCTACCTAACACATTATCCCTGGGATCTATGTTAGAGTTAAGGTTATATGCTAACTAACACATTATTCCTGGGATCTATGTAAGAGTTAAGGTTATATTCTACCTAACACATTATTCCTGGGATCTATGTAAGAGTTAAGGTTATATGCTACCTAACATATTATACATGGGATCAGTGTTAGATTTAAAGTTATATGCTACCTTACACATTATACCTGGGATCAGTGTTAGAGTAAAGGTTATATGCTACCTAACACATTATTCCTGGGATCAGTGTTAGAGTTAAGGTTATATGCTACCTAACACATTATACCTGGGATCTATGTTAGAGTTAAGGTTATATGCTACGTAACATATTATAAATGGGATCAATGTTAGAGTTATAAAGTTATTTGCTACCTAACACATTATACCTGGGATCAGTGTTAGAGTTAAGGTTATATGCTACCTAACACATTATACCTGGGATCTATGTAAGAGTTGAGGTTATATGCTACCTAACACATTATACCTGGGAGCTATGTAAGAGTTAAGGTTATATGCTACCTAACACATTATCCCTGGGATCTATGTTAGAGTTAAGGTTATATGCTACGTAACATATTATACATGGGATCAATGTTAGAGTTAAAGTTATATGCTACCTAACACATTATACCTGGGATCTATGTTAAGGTGATATGCTACCTAACACATTATACCTGGGATCTATGTAAGAGTTAAGGTTATATGCTACCTAACACATTATCCCTGGGATCTATGTTAAGGTGATATGCTACCTAACACATTATACCTGGGATCTATGTTAGAGTTAAGGTTATATGCTACGTAACATATTATACATGGGATCAATGGTAGAGTTAAAGTTATTTGCTACCTTACACATTATACCTGGGATCTATGTTAGAGTTAAGGTTATATGCTACCTAACATATTATACATGGGATCAGTGTTAGAGTTAAGGTTATATGCTACCTAACACATTGTACCTGGGATCTATGTTAGAGTTAAGGGTATATGCTACCTAACACATTATACAGGGGATCTATGTTATAGTTAGGGTTATATGCTACCTAACACATTATTCCTGGGATCTGTGTTATAGTTAAGGTTATATGCTACCTAACACATTATACCTGTTTTTTGTGTTAGAGTTAAGGTTACATGCTATCTAACGCATTATACTTGTGATTTATATGTTAGAGTTAAGGTTATATGCTACCCAGCACATTAAACCTCGGATCTATGTTAGAGTTAAGGTTATGTGCTATCTAATGCATTATACCTGTGATTTATGTTAGAGTTAAGGTTATATGCTATCTAACATATTAAACCTGTGATCTTTGTTAAAGTTAAGGTTGTATGCTTCCATATTCATGATACTTAGGATTCATGCTAGAGTTAAGGTTACATGTTACCTTAATTTGAATTGCTGTTCAAGATGCTACCTTACCCATTAAACCAGATATTTCCACTTGAGTTAAGGGCATATGCTACCTTACATATTTTACATATGATTTCTGTTTGGGTTATTTCCCTTATACTGTTTTCTTATAATTTGGTTTTATATTTAAGTATTACCTATATATGCATGAATTCTAGTGTACCTTTTATATGTGTTTTCTTTGAAATCATCAATTCCAGATTTCGTTCATAATTTATACTTTTAAAGGTTGAGCCACTGTGAAACTCTTTTGAAATATACATAACGTAAACTTTGTGGTAACATATATCCTTAAACTAATAAATCATTTGATGCTGGATGTTTTGTAGTTTTCTTTATTAGGGTAAAGATTAAACTTACGTAATCATCGATCTAGTCCCTTGAATCAGCCACTCTTTGGCTCTGTAAGACTACTGTGTGGTAATTAATGTAGAATATCAGACACACTCACTTACCATTAAAGATTATACAAGCCTCAAAATGAAAAAAATGAAAAATAATCTCCTTTTATGACTAATAGAATGAAAAAAGTTCATGTGGTTGAGAATCAAAATAACCACCAACAATTCTATAATTTGGCATTTTGTTCAAGGAACGTGACACTTATCTTACTGGAATAAATTGATTGATTCAATCATTGCTTTCACATTAAAATGACCTTGGCCTGTATTCATGAAACCATGTTCATGGTCAAACTCAGATTCTGTACTCCAACCCATGCTCCTGTGATAAATAAATAAATAAAATCACATGTTGTCAATAATATGGAGGAAATTTGATGATACTTCAAGCCTGAAACCGTTTTCAATGTTTACACTCTACTTTTTGATGGTGATTTCTATTTTAAGGGAGTTATAAGTAGTTAGCTTGAGCATGACAATGGTTTCATGAATACTGGCCATAATCCACCCCTTGCCAGAACCTTGGCAATATTCTACTGAGAAAAAAGTTTCATAATTAATTCTTTTTTAAAAATACACCATATAAATACATATTTTTCACATGTTTCCAAAGGAATCTCTATTTTCACCCTCACTTTGAATTTGATTTGGAGTATTTCAACCATACCCATTTCTTGGAGCCCCTAATCCCATGGTATTTTTTTCATGAAACATTTGCATTAGATTTTTGCATGGAATATGAGGAGACATTATTGCACATTAAGAGAAAATCAAGAATTCTTGGGTATCCAAAATTCCTTGACATCCATCCTTTGCATGAATTTATTAATATATGGAGTGAACATATTTATACTGTATTTTCGCCACTAATGGCCAACCATGAACGGAACTATAATACGTTGGACTTTATACTATTACCAAACGTCCACCTTCAGGGCCATTGCTATATACGGACTGTGAGATGTCGATTTGTGCCACGCCTCTTTGTTGATTCAAAAGACACTTCATGTACATATTGCAAAGCTGGGCCTGGTAAATGGGTCAGAATTCGCCTAGGGAATTCAACCGGCATAACGCAATAATTAAAAATTGAAAGATAATAAATATATATGCAATAAATCTTACGAGAAGTCGGATAACGGACAAATAACGGACCAATAATCTTTCGTTGTTCTTATAGAACAAAAATCATTACACAAAATCACTATTTTGTTTTAAAAAATTATAGTCAAACCTGCTTTAGCGGCCACCTGTTATAAACGATCGCCTGATGTTAACGGTCGAAACGACGAAAATCACTATATAAGCGGTCACCAGTCTAACGCGGCCAGCAGCCGACAGCCTTTGGTCTCATTTAGAAATGGACGGTAGGAACTGTAGACACACAAGACTTTCATCATAATTCGATTAAAAAGAGCGATTCTTGAATTATGTAACGACCAGTAGCGTGATATTTTTTATAAGATATCCAGTGTTCATTTGACCAAAATGGCAGTCACAAGTATACGGAAATGAGGCCGATGGAATACATTATCTTAAGTGTATTCAAAACACTAGAGGATTGTATATTTTAACCATGATTACTCAGAATGTTTAACACGCTATCCAATATCTAGATCCTGCAATTAATAATTGTCTCATGAGAATGTAGTGAATATGTATTCTTGTGGGGGATTAATCAAGTATGATCATCCCCCGTTAGACTGTTATTACTAGCATTGTATAATTGGATTCTAGGGCGCTGGTGTCCTTTTTGTTTACATTTTAAGTCCCGTCATTTAGCCTTTGAACCCCCACAGATTTAAAGCTACTACCTATATGTATATAGATCATCCACGTGCGTAAATTTAAAATCTGCATATTAAACATTAGGACTACCTACCTACGGGTTAGAATTACTTAACACAGATTTGTGTTTTTGAAGAAATCCTTATCATATTAAAAACAAAAAAATCCAATCATTCGAAATTCTTCTGATCTAAATAATTTTCAAGTATAATTTTTTTCTTTGCACACGATCCTTTTTAATAAACAAAACTTTTTCGGTAAGAGGTTAACTATGTTGTGCTGTCTTTTTCCTGTGAATTTGCTTATAATTTATGTAAACTAGTTTTATAAACAAGTTGGCACAGCTCTCCAAGTCAAGGCCGTCTGGCGAACGTTGCCCTGATTGTTTCTTTATATCCGAAGTTGATGTCAGATCATGGCACTAAAACTCCCAAAGTTTGTTTAACGATTGTCTTTAACTACTTACTATCAAACTTATGTAATGGACCCCCGTTATGGCGATTACTTAATTAATATTCAATCGAATTAAATACGTCATACCTACTTTTCAATCAGACCACGCTCGGCCTTTTCCGTGGAATGGCATGCGACGGAAACGTGCGAAGTGATCTGATTGACATTGAAATGCAGTCGTAATGATACGGACATGCGAATGCACATCGTCACGCTTTCGTTCTTCCGCTATTCTGTAGCATTATGAATTCAAACAGCGGGAAAGAAAGCAGAACAGATAAAAACAAGTCTATCAATTTACAGATGTGTTCACATTGTTCTAGCTTCACGTGTTTCTTTAACTCTGTTCATTTTATTGTTCATCTACATTGCGTTCAAGTGTAGATAGTAATGCTTTGTTGTTCATTAACGTTACGTTAAATTAAATTTTGGGTTTTCTTTCTCTGGTCCGTGAAATTCTACTATATATGTTTTGATATTTTTGTCTGATTTGTTTTCGACTTAACCTTTACTTTTCGAGTTTTTTTGACGAGTTTGATTTCAAGATCACTTTTTTAACCCGTGGAAATTCATTTGCCTGAATCCACAAGCACTATTTAGACAAAACGTGTACCGAGATACCACAGAGTCTTGTCCTAGCAAAGAATCGTGCAACTTACAAAACTGATCATTGTGGAGCAAATGTACTTCCGATCTTTTCCAGATATTCTTGAATCTTACTAGTAAACAGTAGATACAATTTCACTTTTCCGCAGAAATGTGATTCGACCGGGGTAATCTTTGCAAATCGAAATCAACACCTCTTCCGTGTGACGTCGAAAATAATCAATGTGAATACCATTTGTGGAATGTAGTGTAATGGAAATAAACGATTTGTTTGATTCTTATTGGCCCATCCACACGGAAATATCTTTTCTTTTAGAGTAAAAGTCACTTTGTGTGTTCACCTGTGTCCAAATTGTAAAAAAAAATCTGAACAGCTGGACGCGTTTTGAAACGTCAAATGTATGCGCGATATGAAAGAAACGGTGTGCTTTGTACCTCCACGGTCAAGGTCGGAACAAGGAGGCCAATATGTTACCATGGCAATCCTCGTAACTACTGAATATTAATCGATTACACTTCAGGTTGACAAGACGGCGAGACACGTCGTATCCACAGGTCTGT